TATATTTTCCATCAATCAGATTTTTTAAATGGGAAAAGCAAGGGATAAATTATTGCAAAGATATCCAGAAAGTTATAACTGTCTTTCTCCTTTTTTACATTGGTCAATTAATTGACATTAAAGAAATCAATTTTTCATAATTATTGAAATTCCAATAAAACAAATGTTGAATACAAATTAAAAAAATTTTTTCCTTATCTATCTATATCTATATATTCAAAGTTATCTTTCTAATGAGCGAAAACCTTGGCTTCTTTTCAGAAACAGTACGAGGCTTATTTAGTTCGCGTTTACGCTAATCGACGGCCGCCTAACAGCGTCACCGGGGACAGTGGCATCGCCAGTCAGAAGGAGGATAGATATACGAGGAAGACCGTCGCGCACCCGGATTTAGCGGAAACAAGGAGTGTTTCGTCACCGCGAGTGCATCCAGGATCGACTGCTCAAGCGAGCCAGCCAAGGTCTACCTCCGCGCCCAAATTCCACGATCAGATTATCGTAAACGGCGTCCCATTAAATAATCCTCCATTCTTATCGACTGCGTCGCCGGGTGCATCCCTCGGCGTCAATTATCATCACACGAATATTCTGCAAGCGCCGCATGTCTACGCCACGCCGATCGCTCAGCAAACCAGCGAGCAATTCGTCCATCAGATGCCAGTGATTTCCGCGCCGGACACTCGTCAGTACTTGCAAACGATTTCCGGTTACGATGGAAGCGCGCCTCACAACCTCCAAGGTATCCCGAATCTTCGCGTTCCGGCCGCGCCGGTTTTGCCGTCCGCGGACCAGATTCAACCCGGCGCCGTTCCCGTCAATCGATTCTTCAGGGAGCACGTAGAATTGGCGCAAGCCGCGTCCGGCCTGCCGGCCACGACGCGATTTCCCGCCGGAGACGCGACGCCGTATGCGGAAGTGTCGCGGAACGAGCCCGTTCCACCGCAGTTCAACCCCTTGTTTCCGTATCACAACGCCAATATATTGCTGTCCAGTCCGCAATCGCGGATGCGAGAGTACGACCCGTCGGCCATGGGGCCCACTTCGGCGACCGCAAAGTCGAGCACGTATCGGGTAGGCCCCGACGTGAACGTCAATCGAATCGATCCGCTGCCCGGATACATGGACTACACCCTGGCGAATCCGCAGAAGTCCGAGGACGAAGGATCCACGCATTCGCTCACGAGCGACGACGTGGACGACCTGATCAAGCGCAACGAGCGTCTGCTGTGGAAGGACGCGAGAAGTCCGCGCTGGTCGCCAAGCGCTTTGGACATAAATAACGCTAATCTGGACGAGAACGGCAGGACGACGGCGATACTGGAGAACGAGTTGGATCGATACATCAGTAACATCCGCAAGCTCCATCGGGAACACGGTGTACCGAGCCTGGAGGAGCTGGACCATGAGCAGAATACCAGCGGCGATCTGCTGAACGTCACCCTGTCGGAAGACGCGTTGGACCTTCCGGCGGAAGAGCGCGCGAAGAAAGAGCGCGTTCCCGAAGAGATGGGCAGGATTCTAGCGCTGGCCAGCGATCTCGCGTCCAGAACGGCGAATCTGAAGGACGTAGCGCGAGATGTGACCGTGAAAGATGGCGGATCACTCGCGGAAGTCGAGGACGAAATTAGACATCGCCAGACGACGGGTAGCGATGCGCCCAAGGACAAACGCGAGGCTGAAGGACGCGGAACTTCGGCGAGGGACGAAATTAGAGAGGACGTTGCGACACGCTCGCCGGAATTAGAGCAACCGCGCGGAAACGCGAAGATTGCGACAGAGGACTGGAATAAAGCGGACGAGACGCGAGAGCGCGATCGGGAAGCGTCTATTACGAGGAAAGACGACGCGAAAGATGAAGCGACCGCGTCGTTAAATAATAAATTACATGTCGACGAACAGAAGAACGCGCCGCAGGAGGGACGATTGAATCTTTTCACCGGCAAGGAATCATACATCGAGGATGTGTTTAACGTCACCGAGGAACTCGCGCCGTGGGATATCGCGAGTGTACAGAAGAAAGTTGTAGAATTATATCTGGATGCCTCAAATAAAGATCCAGCGGCAGGAGCGGAAAAGGCAGCTAATGAGGAGGACGAGGAAATTGCAAACGAAGTGCACAGCTCGCCGCAGCTCGCCGAGCAAAGCGGCGCGGATGGTGAAGCGGACGACGCACGTCTCCCGCAGGATGCGGAAATAGACACGAAAGGATCGAACGAAGCGAATGAGGATATCGAAAAAGTATCCATTGAGATTGCAAATCAAGATAAAACCAACGAATCAAAAATCGCGTCTCAGGCGGATGAGAATACGAATGAAAATGACAGCAAAAACGATGAAATGGCGGAACTACGCACTGATGATCAACATAGAGATATCGCAAAGGACGACGAATATAATGTCGAGCAAGGATACGTCGAGGATCCGAGCCAAGCGCAGCAGTACGGACAAGATCCGAACGAGGAATATCAATATGAGCAGAACGTACCGTACGAAGGCGCCGGTAACGAGGAATACTCGAGGTACGCTGGTCAAGGATACGCTCAGGAGGGTCAGGAATACGTCGAGTACGTGGACGGCCAGTACGAGCAGTATCAAGAAGATCCTAATAATCAGCAATACCAACACGATCCCAACGCGCAGTACGAGCAGCAGGACCCGAATCAAGCATACGACTACAACTATGACCCGAATCAAGCATACGCGGGCGATCAGCAATATGATCCCAATCAAGGATACGCGAACGATCCTAATAATCAGGCGTATGATTACATCGAGCAGGTTCCTTACGATCCTAACCAGACGTACGATAACGCGTACGAGCAGGAGTACAAAGAACAGCGCGGTCCTGAGGATTACCTTAACGAAGGTCGCGAAGAGAAACCGGAAACGGAAGAGGCCTCGCTGAGCCAGGCGAATCCAGAGTCGGAACACAAATCGGACGGAGACGAAGACAAGCCGCAGCAAGGAGACGCCGTCGACGAAGCGAATGAGCCGAAGAAGAAGAAGAACGTGATTAAGTCCTTGCTAGACTCCGACACGGATACGACGATCGAGAGAAACGTGTCGAACACGGAGAGTGATTTCGATTTTAATTAACATGTGCAATTAAATTTGATCTAGATGAAGGTAAACTGTTAGGATATTCGGTTGATAGGACAAATTGATCGAAGAATATGATTAACTCTTGATTGATTTTGATCTTGTTTTATCGAATTTTGATATGAATTTCAGGGAGTCGAGAGAAATATGGTTTTAGATGGAATATGTGATGTGTCAGTGTTGAGAGAAGCATTAAATTAGATGTAGATAGAAATAAATTAGAGCAAGCCCGCCAGTAAAACAGATGTGAGTTGAAAAAGGTCGTGATTGAATCTTTACTGAATTTTAAGGTGGACCTCACATTTAGTCGAAAGAACCGTCTGGAATATGGACAAGAAATTTTAATTTTAATTAGAATTTTAATTAAAGTCCGTGCGAGTTGTAGCGGACGACGAGAGTGATTAATTTTGCTGGGGTTCCACTCGGAACTTGCCATCGTAAACATCATATTTACCAATGTAGGTATAGAATAAAATGGTAAAAACAAGGTATAATGGAAAGTACATATTATTTCGTGGACACTTCATTACTTATATTGAGCAGCATAATTGGAATAATCAAATCACCATATATGAATGCGCACATAATTGCGAAAAGATTCATCTTCATTAAAAAGAACATGCTTGGATACAATATATTATAAAAATTCATTATTATTAAAAATGTAATGTCTGGAAAAACATAAGAGAAAGTTTGCACAGGTAAAAAGAGAATTAAATAATCATTATTATAGCTTTAAAGCAAGAATGCTAATTAATATTGAAGTAGAATAAAAACTTGATATTAAAGGATGTCTTAAAATCGTTTGAAATCAAGTCTCTGTTGATTTAAAATGTGTATTGCGCAATATATGCAATAATTAGTAATATTTCATAAATATATTCATATTTAATAATTTCATATGTAATAATTTATTCACATTTTGTTGAATGTTTGTACATATATGTGATTTATTATTTATTATTTTTTATATGTAATATTTTTTTTCTAGCAGCAACACATATTGTTCAATGCAACATTTGGTTTAAGTTAAAAAACCAAGTTTACAGTTAAGAAATGGATTAAATTTATTGGACTACTGTGCCTTTTTGTAGAATATTCATATAATATATAAACGATGTACAGACGCAAGGTCTCATATAATTAGAACAGTACTACAGCGGCGGTCAGTCGCACAGTATGGATTTTCATGGGATCGACGGGAACGAGTCTGCGCTAGTCGAGCGTCGCGACTCGCAGCGGTATCGCGCCTTCTCGACCAATCACGCTCAGACCACGCGCGTCACACCACGGACGCAGTGCTGTAGAAACCACCGGTGAAGAGGCTGTGAGATTCTCCGTCCGTTTTTGTCGCAAGTGTTTTGAGAAACAAGTAAGTATATTATGCTTTTCTTATAGAATTTTTCTCCTCTCTTCTTTGGCATTATATTATCTAGAATTGTGCACGTAGAATTGTTTTGCAGAACATCAGACTCGTACTCTTCTCTCGTGAAATTTATAATTGAGTAGAATAAAAAGGATTGACAAGCGATTTTTGAGCGATAACCTCAACAATGTCGAAGATTCGCAGAATCTCGCTACAAAGTTGTATTATTTTTATCCAACTTTATTAAAAGATGAATATCGAACGCGAATTCGACTGAAAGAGATATTCTTGCAAACAGTAAACAACATTTATATAGAAATATATATTAAAATGCTATTTTATATGAAGTCAGCTGCAGAATCACTTGCACATACATATATTTAAGCATACTTCGATATATCGATGACTTGACTCGCAGCATATGTCAGGTTCCATAGTCAACGGTGCACTATTGTGTTTACGCGCGGCGCGGCTGGAGTGTCAGCTGGCAGTTTGTGACAGTCGTTCTCCAACACACCGAGAAGCATCTTCCGCGTCGCGTTAGCTGGAACTGCGTCAGCGCGGATCGCTTCCACGTCATGTGTAGCGAACAGTGTTGAACATTCTCGCAATATTCTTTCGCTACCGCTTCACTTTTCGAAATCTTTTCGCCGTCGATCGCCCGGAACGGAGCAACAATTCGGACGCGCGACTACCAAACAACGTGAACGATATTGCCCACGCTGCAGCGTCGCGATTGGCTGAATACGTGCTCCGCGCCGCGATTTGTTCGCCACTGTATTCACTGTAATCGTCCGCTTGATACCGGCGAGCCGCGCGCGCGACGGCGACGTCCTTTCTTCTTCACCTTTTGGGTACGCGGAACGAGTAAAAAACGTAAGTGACAGATCACTTCACTTTTCACCGTATGATTCACGATAAATCGCGACTTTGTGTGCGAATGTGGGCGCAACTCTGCTACGCTCATGTCCGACGATAACCGGACGATAAGTACTACTGACTTCGCACGAACAAAGCTGGTTATACAAAAAAACGCGGCAAATTGTTAGCAAATTGATTAATCGACTGATGCGACCTACGTATGCTCTTCCGTATGCACAAAAGTTGTTGTTAATGGCGTGATGACTGGGCAGTTTATGTGAGTAAGGAAGAAAGCGTCGCACATATTTACACATTTTTCTAACCTATTTCAATTTGCGTTTCACTCTTTACTATACCGGTATGTTTCTCTTTGCATATTTACGAGGATAACAATAAGTAACTACTCAGGTGAACTTTTTTAATATATTGAAGAGGTTAGGACGTTGTGTGTTCCAATAAAATCTAGAGCGTTTCAATACCATTCTAAAATTGCCAGCTGAGTGTGTGTATTTTATTTAAGATATTTATATATTGAATTTTATATATTGAAAGAATCACAACTTTGAATATTAATGACATATAAAATATAATTTAGATTCTTTTTTGCTGAACTAAAGAAGTAGCAAGTTCATGTTTTAATATTAATATAATTTATTTAATAAAAAAAATGCGCGGTTATGATAATTTTTTATTTCTAAAATGTTAATACTCAGTTTAGAATATTTTAATATATTATAAAAACTATATAGTAGAAAATGTGAGTGATAAATACACATCTGCAATTAAAGTACTGTTTTATTTGATTATAATTTAGCACGTTGAATGATTGGAGCGGATATACATAAGTAATTGATTAGAAAATAGATTGTGATAGCCGTGCACCAAGAAAGTTAAAAGTCATACGTCGTATACGTTTCGAACTGGATACAGATGTTTATTTATCGCTGCATGTGCATTAATGCAGGCAAATTGTGCGTAACGAAAAAGTTTCGCATGTCGTCGTATTTAAAATAATTCGTATACATACCTATTGTTTAATGAGTTTAGCTCTTGATTAGCGAATTAAACATTTATATTCTTGATAGAATGGAAATCTTGTTGTATTAAAAATACAGTTACACTCGGAATAAATCTGTGTTAATATGCGATATTCGAATCGAACTAACGTATCTTGTTAATTATATTATAATTTTTGCATTTTATATGCTTTATTAACTGGGCAATTAGATAATGTGATTATCTCGCATTCTTTGATGCCAGAGATATAAAATTTAAAATCAATTTTATTTCTGCACAACCAGCGTTTTCTTATCGTGAGATATAATTTTGTCGATAAGAAAAGGCATATAACATGAGACATATCTATATATAAGTATATATAAAGACGGAAATCCATGCAGACCTGCATTGTTCCAATTTTAGTTCAAACAGAATATCGATAGGTAAAAAAATTGTTTCAAATTTCAATGTTCATGGAATATTTAATAGTGCCTTTAATATTTTATTTGTCAATAATATCCTTTACAAAATATATTATTAGAAAAAAGTAACTATCATGAATATTAGGAAAATACTGAAGCTGAAAGAAAAAAATTAATTTTAACACTTTGATATTTTCTAGAAATTTGTCTGCAATAAATATAGTATACATTTATTAATTGTATTTATTTTTGTGTGAAATAATGGGTTTGTTTCGGTCGTTGTTAAAAAATCTGCAGCTGTTAAAGCAGGCACGCGTAATGTCACGGATACTTGAATAGATATCGCGCTCAAGATGACGAGTGTTTAATAATATTATAATTTGCAGAATAATGGAGGATGTGGTCGCTGCGAACGTAGTGAAAGAAGTGAACAATGGCGTTGATAGAATCTATTATGAACTGGATGGCGAAGGTGATGCTGACAGCTCGACGACTCCGAGCCACAATGTAGATCATCATCGCGATCGTGAGTACTATCAAATTTTAGAAAATGCTATTTTGCGACATAACTGGTGTGCTGGTTGCGGTATTCTAATCAATTAGCAGTGCGATAACAACGAGTCGTTATTATCTTGCAGTAACTTGCAATCATAACGATAAAGCGAAGTAAAAAGAATGATTTTAATATCACAGAGTTGTCAAGAAGTTATTCTTTGACGGACATTTATCCGTTGAACTGAATTGAATAGAATTATTCTTTAATTTCTTGAAACGTGTCTCAGGAAAATCTTACAAGCTTTTGAGAAAGTTTATTCGTCGTACCAAAGTTATTTTTTGACCTTTTGAAAACCAATCTTAAAATTATGAAGTTGTGGCAAAGTTACTTTTTCAAATACGTCTCTTTGTGAGAAAGAGTATTTTTTAACTTTTTGAACGACGACGATTTGGATATCATATATCATTTTTTGATTACTTTGGAATTGGATTTTTTTCCTGGCAAAGTTTTGATTAAATGCCACGTACGGGCCAGTCGTATTTTCATAGCTGCAATTATATCGCAAAACGAGCATGTTTCGCGGTGCTAAACGGTATGTTATGATAGGCACGACTCGCGCTATAACGCGATTTATCTGGCCGCACGAAGGGTGAAGTTAATTAAAGTTCGCCGGAGAACTGGAGATCGATATGAATTATACGCGGTGGCTGCGGAAGAAAAACAAATATTTCTGCGACTTTCTATTCTCAGAATTTATCTGTTTTGATAGTAACAAGATTGCCAGAGTCGATAATATAAAAAAAATAAATTAAATATATCGAAAGAGAAGTCAGGAAAAATAAAAATCGTTAAAATCAAGAGATTACGAAAAACTACAATTTTTCACGGCGACAGAAATAAAAAATTACTTGATATTATTTAATCTTGCGCTATCGTTTGTCATAAAAATTTATTATAGCTGAATTTTCAACTTATTTTATAAATGTGATTTATTAAACCAAAATAACTTTACTTACGAATCATATAATTCTCAAGTTCTCAGAATGATTGAAGGTGTGTTGAACCTCATATTTATTTTTGCAAGCCGATCTATCTAGTTGGAGTACTGACGAACGCCTTCGTCGATTGACGCGAGCGATGGTTCTGAAAATTGGCAGCTAGCCTAAGATCTTACAGCAGACTGATAGTATTTTGGCTGCCGTAGGTGCTCACAATGGTGCCGTAGGTGCTCGTCTCGTCAGTGCAAGGCGAGAACAAACGCGCGAGTTAGCTTCGCAGCAGTGACCGCAGTTCGGTCGTCACGGTAGTTTCGCGGTGTTCTTCGTTGTGTTACGTGATGCGTAAATCTTGAACGTGGTGTCCCGCTAAATTTGGGAAATTTTGTGAAAACGGATCTCCCACCAATTGCACGGTCGCTCCGCAAATCTGCAATCGTAGGCCTTGAAAAGTGGCGTGTATGCGAAGTTTGCGAAATCCCGAAAACATTTTGATTCAACTGATCAAATTAGGTAAGTCATAAATAACTTCCGTGACGCGAATTACAAGTGTCTGCTTTTTCTGCGAATCTTAAATAACTCAAAATTAATCATCAACAAGATTTAGGATGTTCAGAAAAAATTAAATGTTTACTATTTGCGTTGGAAGTTATTTGTGATTGTAAATATGATGTTAAATAATTTTTTAGAAAATTTTCTTGCGATTAGTTACATTAATTTAATTCTTGATAAAATTGATTATTATTTATTTATTAAAATTCGAAATTTTTTGATTGTTTCCTGAGAAAATATTTACATTGTACATTGATTTGTTAAAATCAGATTTTGACAAATTGACTATCGCATTTTCCAAATATATCCCAATCGAAAAATTCGCTATCGTACGATGAAGCGGCTCTGAAATCGTCTAAAATTGCTTTAGCACTCCTATTCGCTATCGCGACCTTCGTGCATAATGTTGGCACGAGCTTTGACAAGCACAATGATTAGCGCGACGTATATTTTTGGCGCAGTTAAAAGCATGTCGCGCCGTCGCGATTATTAAAAGCCGTTTTATTTACACCGAGCTCGATTTTCTAACACGAGTTCTTTTCAAATCGAGAAAATATGAGATCGTAGGCAACTTACTTGTGGCATCTTAGTAAATTTCTTGGGAATCTTTTATTATTAGGAGGAGTTTATCGGCTAATAAATTTTGTATCAAAATAAGGAATTATCGATAGTGTAATTTAAGCTGTATCAAGGATCGCGTGACTTGGCGTGACCGGGAGAAAGATGTCGATCAGAGGTGTGACCACTTCGGAGAACGAGGCGTTCCTTGGTTCCTTGCGCCTGCCGAATTTTTTGATCGATCCTGATGAATATTACGAAGGTAAAGGCGAGTGCGAAGGCTCGCGAGACACTTTATCAGGTTGTGTTGCAGCATTGTTAATCGCTTGACGTTGAAATCGATGTAATTGGCGGGACACATTTACGTTTAGTGTCATTTTGCCGGAAAACTGTCTCAGATGACGACATTTTTTAAGGAATTATTTCGTGCAACGTATGTAAATAACAATAAGTCCATGTCTGCTGTAATTGTCAGCAATCTGTCTTATCTTGTCAATAACGCAACTAATACTTATCATTGTCTTCTTCTCATCGCAAAATGTATTGTCATATAGTATTGTTCATATTTTATAAAATTCCTGTAGAGAAACGCAAATTTGTGTTTTCTCAGAATTTTCTATGAATCACGTCATTTATTGCACAAACTCGCGCCTTCCCAGAATTTTTCATGAATCACATGATTTATCTTCTTGAAGCATCTAGAGCAAACTTTTAAAACTGCAAATTGTTAGAAACGCCAAGAGAGTAAAATACTACCTTAATTATTTCTTTGGGAAATACTCTTAATAGCTGTGTTTGTAAATTATCGCGGTAAAATAGTTTGAAGTTACACCTCGAGGAGATAATTTTGAACTGACATAATTATTACGGCGCATAGAATTCGAGTAATTTCCACATATCGCCTGCGGTCAAGGTTGCGGCTTACATCACACTTTTTATCTAACGTTGTGCAATTTCAACGCAGTTCCTTTTCGATAGTTAGATTCCTAAAGTAAACGAATTGATTAGCTTAGAAATGACGATATTCCACAATTTTTATTTTTGTTTAAAATATATGTATATTAATTAAATTTTTATTTTTATTATTTTTATGATACATTTCAATATTTTAGAGCATCAAAATTTTTCGCAATTAGATCAGAATAAATCCATAATTTGTACAATCCAAAGACATCAGTGAAAGACATTGGAATTGCTTGCAACATCACTGTTATAATTACAAAATGCAAGAACTTTGATAAAAATTTTATGTTTAAAAACTACGACTTTGTAATGCTATGTGAAAAACATTTCGAAAAGTATTGATAATAAGAATGAGAAAATATGCAAAAATAGAATTACAATATTTTTTATTGATGCCACCAAAGTGTTTATTGAAAGCGGACTGTTTACAAATTATAAATTTGCTGAATCTCACATTGGATCATTTATTTTGAGACGCCGTGCGCCAAATGTAAACTCTGACAGCGTCACAAGAGTGATACTTTCTGGCTTGGATACATATTAATGCCATGCCAATGACTAAAATTAATCGAAAATACTGACGCCGGCTTATTTTCGTTCCGCGGCGCGTTATATTTATTGCGAGTGTGGGTCCTACGGGCCAGATGAGGACAAGGAAGCGGTGTGTTCTCGATTGGGAAGATTGAGTCTCGCCAGAGATCCACGGTAACCGTGCCAGGAGTATTGATCCCGTTCGCGACTACGTCTATGCTATGCCACTAGTCTCTTGGCGCGCACAAACGGGACCCATTCAGGCCGGTCGACGCTGCCAGAAATTGAATCACGCAAATTCACGCGATTGCCGTAAATAGATGTAACCGTAGAATTCGATCGCACGCTCTCCGACGCCTCGTGGAAATTTCCGCTGCCTGTTAGGCATTTTTAGGATCGGCACCACAACGCGTTGCTCAATCTTTCAACACGTTAAATATTCATGAAAATTATCAATATGCTGGCCATATTTTTTTCTCGGCATTGTGAAATTTCTGTGTACTAAAATATTTCTTCATGATTGGACAAATTATGCTAAAAACACTTATTTTTTATTTATATATTATGTAATAGTAAAATTTTATGAACATATACATAACACGATGCACGAAAAAGCAATATATAAATGTAAATTTTCCCATTTCTTTTATCATAAAGTATTGCTCTATTTTTAAAAGTAATACCGCAAATCATGAAATCTATTGTTCATTTAACTCTAAATTAATTTATTTTAACACAAAGATACCTAAAATCGCATATTAGAAAACATATTGTGCAATAAAAATAAATCCGCATACATTTTTGTTTAAAAAGTCAATGCAGCGTTAGTTGAAATATTGGTTGAAATAAAAATATATTTTGAAACAGTTTTTATATATCAAAATTATTCATGTGACTATTGCGCACTGCAAAACTTTTTTATTTATTGTATGAATTTAAATGGACACATTTAAAGTTAAATTCGCAGCGTGAACGCAAATACATTCAGCCCTGCGACATTGTTTTCAACCTTGACGTTGTAGAATTGCTCGCGATGAGTCTTTAAATGGTGCTTTTATAGCCCGTGTATAATTAGCTCGTAGCGCAAACACTTGTTATAGAGACGATGGAGCGTATCTAGTCATTATCTTGTGATAAGATCGGCTGATAATCATTATCATGCCGTATAGAATAGCAAAATGCTGCTTGGAATAATGAGCTTCATTACTAAATACACTTTGAACGTTACAATATTTTAATCCTATGTAATTTTTCACAGTATAATGCGAATATAATAACAGCAAAAATATGATAAATAACGAGGTAAAGATGAAACAAAATATCTCAAGTACAACTATCAAGTTTAGTACAATTTAAATTTCAAAGAAAAAATATTTCTCTCAATTTGACTCCTAATTATAAGATCTTCAACTTTGGACATGATTATCTATAATTAATCTTCGCTGAGATAATAAATTCAAAATATTAAGTTTTAAATTAGATTTATTTAGAATTATTTAGCGACAATATAACATAATTAGTAGAAAAGAGGCATACTATATACATTTGTAGATGAATAAATATAAATATATCAATTATGAATTCTCAGCATGCAGTAAAAATGTCAAACGTAATCCTTTTTTAAATCAAGCAGTATACTTTTTCTCGTTGTTAATTAAACTTACGGGTAGTCATGCTCAATAAATGTGTGTGAAAACAGTTTGCTCTGGAAACATGCTTCTCGTGATTTATTACGACTTTCTATTATGATTTAATACAGTTTGCATGATGTCGGTGACACCGATCGGAGAAAATTCCTCGCGCGAATCGCAGACGTAAGCGCCAATTAGTGTGACTTTGGCGCACGCGAAAACCATTCGACACGAAAACAGAACTGCGCGCAGCTTTGTAATTAAATCAACGCCTGTGTATCACGCGCCGCTAAAGCAATCCCCGCGAGTTTGTCAACTGACAAAAAAATTTCGCGCGTGTGTCATGATCACGATGCACCGTGAAAAATAGCAGTATTTACTTACTGAGAAGGCTCGCTCTTTGTGTTTTATTACACATTTTATTTTTTGAAACGTACATCATGTTTTGAAGTGGTGCTTACAAAGATTTATTATCTTTCATTGCTAAAAAAAAGCGTTTATAAACACAATATTGACTCATATACCGAAGCAGTGATAAAATTTTTATTATGTTTTTTATTGCGAGCGTTGCCATTCTTTATTTTGTCTCTTTTTATCGCGATGATTAATTCCTGAAGAATTTCGCGCAATTTTCCCGATTGCTATCGGCATTCTCTCTAAGTGCTTTTAATTTTCCAGATTTTCTAGTTTTTTTCCGACTTGTAGCAATCCAATAATTCACGATACGTCATCTGGTTTTATTTATTCAGATTTTGTATTTATAAAGAAATTGACAATTGATATTACACAGGCTACTTGTTTTGTGAAACAAAATTTATGATATTTTGATTAATTAATTGAAGTAAATACGCAATAAGGTCTTAATTTATACTCTCAATTAAATTAAAGTATAAATAAAAACATACTTTGCAATATATTTATTTGTCAAGAAGAACGAGAGTAAGAAGACGAATGAAAGATAAACACGCATCGAAGCACGCTAATCTTGTACGTCTTATGCTAACTATACACATTAGTATTCTAGAGTTAAAGAGGTGGTGTGTTTTTCATACCATCACGAAGAGTTCAAACGGTCACGCACTGCTTACAATCTATTTAAATGTTGATAATAATACAACCTCCTGCGCGAGCGTTTTATCGTTCGTAAGAAATCTGCTTTAGAGACCTACGCAACATCGCGCGTGCACACGTGGATCGCGTATGTCGCAGCGTGGTAAATATATGGGTCACTCAAGAATAAGCGCACACGTCAGTCGCACGCACCATGCGTGAATGTCGAATTATTGAAAGTCAGGACGTACGTTTTAGCCGGTATCGCGTGTTGCAATGTGTTTACGCCAAGTTTTTCGGTATTTCGCGCGCGCGTGTGCAAACCATGAATAAGATAGCGCATTCGTGCACTCGATGATTTGCAAAAGTGGCGTGAGCCCAGTTTCAAAAATCGAAGATTCACACACCGTGACGCAAACACACATCATCATTTACCGCCACTTCTTCATTTTCCATATTATACGCTGAGAGATATCTCAGAACGATAAGCTCTTTATGATTCTGTTAAGATGTCGATGTAATTAATAAGTTTTATCGTACCTTGACGAGATCTATTATCAATTCTTTTTACAGAATTTTCTAAAAAATATTCCGCCTTCAAAAACTTCTCGAGCTTTCGAAATTATTAATATTACGAGTATACAAAGGTCTCCATCGTTTATCTCAGTGATGGGAATTTCCATATCACCTGTGAGATACTATCATTGATTCTTTAACAATAGTATCTCACAAGTGATGTGGAAATCTATATTTATCTATATTTATCTATATTATCCCATGTTTATTATCTTGTTGCATTGTTGTGATATGGACATTCCTGAGGCTGAGTATCAGGCATTTTAGTTACGGGTATTGTTAGCGCGTTTGGTGACTCATTGCTAGCATGCGAGCGGCAAGAAGGGAACAGGAGAACAATTAGAAAATTTCGAGCCGAAAGTTGCAACTAATTCCCATCTCTGGTTTATATAGACAGATCGCTCTTTTGATCAGGAGAGACTTCTTTCGCGATGTCCATTTTTTACCTGAAAGATGACAAAAAGGGGGTAAATAATCCCGGAAAATATATTGACTAAAAATATTGCATTATTTGTAAGAGATATTGCCAAAGAAAATTGCCTTGAAAGCGATGGAAACTTACACATGTTTAACAATAATTATTTGATGATCCCGGCGTTTATTCGAGACCATTAGAAAACACGCGTAACTATCGTATAATTAAAACTTTCTGTTATCATCTCATTTAACTAAAGTTTGTTTTAATTAGACTTTAAGGGGGGGGGGATAATCCGCACGCGCGACCTCGCACGCGTACACACACGCGGATTCCACGATGCGACTGCCAAGATATTGCCAAGTCCTTCCTCTCCCCCTCTGACTGGTCACAGTCAGTGCATTCGACACTCACGACCAGTCGGCATGGTCAGTGCCCTCCGACGCGTCGTTGACTAGACACACCGCGTTATAGTCCCTCTCTTTCGTGGGCTCTCGAGAGTGAATTCCCGTATCTTGCATCTCGCGCTCCGTTCGGCTAAAGTGGATACACGCATCTCACGGGAAATACCTTGTCTTCGCAAGTTTGTGTGCCATTCAAGGGAGTCGCAAATTTGTGCGTCACTCGAGGAAATCGCGAATTCAGAGTTGCATCGATCGCGTGATTCGTCTGACTCTGGTATCGCGATGGAGCGATTTGCGAATTGTTGTATGTTTTGAATAGTACGCAGTTGGTGTCGGCATGATTGAGACACTTTTCGCTTCGTGAGTAAGCTTTAATGATATTAATGATTATTACCGAAACGCTGATATAATATTTATGTTTCGGAGCGGACGCATTAATAAATGATTATTTAATGAATTCTGTTGCACATTATCTTCGATTTAATTTGTTTACTAAACAATTTGTTTACTAAAAGGAAAGAAAATTTAAGAAAACAGCCCATTAAAAATGTATTTTGATCATTCTAATGCCGATTATACAGTTACAAAGTAGAATTTCGAAAACGCGTTAAGAATCGCGAAAAAATATTATTATTTCTCGCTTAATTTAAAGTAAGTTTTTCTTATCAAAATTCAGCGTTTTATTATTTCAATTTGTGGTAGATAATTAATTTATTCTTTAATATTCTAAATTTTACATGAAATGACACCACATATGCATTTTTTGTCAATTGTGCAAGACTATATATTATAGACTGCGCAAGAGGGTTCAGTCGACCAGAGTTAGCGCTAATCAACTTCGATGCAACGCAACCGGCTCTTCGAATGCGTCGATCGCTGACGAAAGTCGCTTCCCGAGTAAACAACATCGCACGCAAGAATATTAATTAGCTGTCTCGCGATAACGAATATATGGTCTTCTCGAAAGTGCGTCGACAAAATGTATCGTTAGTTCGTCGCGTGAGAATGCTGATAAAGCGCACATAAATAACATGTAAATAAACCCAAGAACGCTGTACGCTGAGGATAATAAACTTGCATCATCCCGCGTGAGATTTAATTCGAATCTCTTCGTCTCTTTGACGTAAATGTCGCGCGAGTATTAACGCGAATTGCGCATAGCGCACGGGAGAATTGAGGCGTTGTACGTGTTGCGATTAGTGCTGTCAAATAGACCGGATAGTTTCTGTACCGTCATTTGACTTTACCGGGTATTAATCGAGTATCGAGTATAACGCTGTTATCCGAACGTTCACAATTTAATTGCGGACGGGTTTGTCGACGATTCGTGACTTATCGAAGTGATCGTGGAAGGGCAAGTCCTGCAGCGTGATATTCATTCTTGTTTCGCAATCACTTGTTAAAGTGTTCTTTGTCCCAAAACGTGCTTTCTTACAGATCCAATCTTTTGATAAATTTTAGATTTGATTTTCGGTTATCGTGAACATTTTTGGGGCGTTTTCTTTATTTCCAACAGCACGGGTAATGCCAGTTTGAAGCTAACGAACATTGTTTTATGGTTAAAAAGCTGATTTCCTGATGACTGCTGTAATAATTAATAATAAGCAGCGGGGCTTAATTCTTGGAACTACAGCAACTTGAACATTCATAGTTAATTAAAGTTTTCGCGTAGTCGCTTGTCTCGTAGAATCGCGAATCCTTCATGCAAATGTTTACGATGGTGTATGAAATCCAAAAATAAATTACACGCTCATCAGAAAGGGTTCTGCGTCGCGTAAAGCTTCGCGGAATCGCAATTTACCGTCGACTCGAGGAGCCGCGTGAATCATTGCGCCGACATTGCGGCGGAAAACGCAATGGTTGCTGCGTACCGACCTTGCGGGAAAACGCGGGAGACTGATCTGGGAATCTTCAGGTCATCTATTTATAGTATGAGCCGGTATTTTCATTCGCGAAACCGCCGTAGCCGGCGCTTTAGAGGAGAAACGGAGCGGAATCGCCTGTTGACATCGCGTCGCGAATTTTTACCGTTGACGGCTTGTTATCGATCACGTCGGAACGATTAGATTTCCTGTTTTCCTATTTTTTTTTATTATTTCCGTTTTTCTTCATTTACGCTGTACTTCTTTTTTTCGGTTTTGCTCTAAATTTTCCACAGAAAGACGTGAAGTTTAATTACACCGTCAATGGCGATTTTTTTTCACTCTTTTCGAACGCTTCTTTTTAAACCGCGTACCGTTTCGCGTGCACGAAGAGAAACAATTAACTTGTTTTCCACACACAGCGCGCAACTTAAACGACGAGTCCGTGTCAATTTCATGCAAATCGCACGCGGAGAAAGCGTGTATAGGCGTGATTTAACTATCCCTGACGCGCAACCCTAATTTGCTGCTGCCCCTGCGTCGTAGAAGCGCTATTTACTACGCACAGCTCCGCCAGCCGCATTGTAAAGGCCGCAACGTTCGTGATGACTCCACTATGAAAATTGTTTGTCTAATATCGCCAGCGGACACAACGACTTATTGTCGGCCACTTATTGCATGTGCGCCTCGTTGGCGCAAACCGATGGGAAAGTTGGTTTGACGAGCGAAAATAACAGGCCTCGTTATCGAGCGCTGCGCGTCGCGTTCTATTAATAGCTCGAATGCTGCGAGCTTTTGTAGATTTGTCGTCGGTTGAGGGTCACGACGAGCTCATTGGTTCATTGATCATATCACGGGAGAGCGACGCGTCTCTCGCGGAGGTCGCGATCGCCGTCGGGCTGGGAACCTTCTCAAACGAGAGTGACGAAATAACGTTCGAATCGGGAGAGCGATAATAATTAATTAAAGAGAACCCGTTACGATTCGCAGTTAATAATTAATTCTCAAACATAGTTGTTAATTGCATTTGTACTTGTGATCGATTCAGTCAGTTGTTCGTTTCGATTGAAATTTAATGAACAATCAGTCGCTAATTGCATTTGTGACTGATTCAGGCTCAGTCGTTATTTAACGTTCGCCTTTTGTAAATGTCCGACAAATGAATTGCCAGATATTTTCTTAATTGAGGGCGTTTTCCGTCAAGTATGATGACCTGTTTGCGCAGTTAATTATCTCAAGTTTCATATGTCTGCGAAACGAGTCAGCGATCGATCATTTCGGGATCTTTCGAGCGGCGACGTCGTGCAAACACAAGTGCGACGTAAAACTGGAAAATATTTACAGGGACGCGTACAGCGATTCGTCGTCGAACGTAAAGACGAACGAGGTTCCCGAAATGGGAAATGAGAACGAAATTCTTGCTCTGTACAAGCGCAATTCCGTTACCGAGTGGTTGCAGAAAACTGGACAAGCTACGGGTTATGTGGACAATGGTAAATTCACCGGAAATTGCGATCTCTCTTTTTAACTTTTTCGCCGCGGATTATTCCGTTCTACATATTTGTCTCTGAGCGAAATACAAATATTATAGATTGAAATATTTGCGTACTGTAAAATTTTTGCATGTTGATATATCGCAAATCTTTTATTCTGTCCTTTTAAATTCTTCCATTTAAATTATGTAGCAAAAAAGAAAACGTGTTTTCGTGTCAACTATGTGCTTTAAACTCTAACTCAGCGCACGCCTCTCGCATAAAAATTTCTGTTAATATTTCAGCTCATTTCTGCATGAAAGTGCATTAAAAAGAATGCATTGCAAACAAGAAATTGTGCTAAAATAATGAAACATGGAACACTAACATTCGAATAAAATAATAATTTAAGATTTTATACATTGTTGGGTATCGTTTGACTAAGAATATTTTTCTCCCATTATGTTCTTTATTAGTTGAGTTTCCTTTAACGGAATTATTTCGTTTGCAGGTAGCGAAAGCCCAGTCTTCGGCATCGAAAATAACGGAACCGGCACAGGAAGTGGCAGTGCTTTGAGGCTTGCGTCTCACGAGTTACCGAACGAAATTTCGGCGCCTTACGAAGTACCACAATTTCCGATCGAGCAAATCGAAAAGAAGCTTCTGATTCAACGTCAACTGACCGTCAAGTGAGTACAATTACCACTAATATTTTTCCAGCATTTGAATAATTCAGATTAATCCAAGTATGATAAAAGTTAGTTTTCATGACTTTGTGCTGAGTTATAAGCAGTATCTAACACGGTTAGGTAGAACGATTGCACGTTTTTCAAAGCTTTCTGAACTTTCCATCTTAGCAAACTTCAGAATTTTAATTTAATGCTTAATTCAGATTTTAATACGTTGGACGAAGTGTGACTTCTCGTAAAAACTGACCTTAGCTGGACGATCCGAATCGTGTGAATCACAAAAACTGATTATATCAAATTCTGATAAATAAATAAAGCTCGTACGTTGAATGCGCATCGAATAAAAAAATTAATTTGTCGGGAAAAGTTGAAAAACGCGGAATAAAAGTTATGACGATAACTAGGTGGCAATAAAACGATGATTGCAATCTATGTTTACGACTGTACGGAAGGCACTAAGGCATTGTCGCAATATTGCGAGGTACAAAGTGCTCTCGCGTGTACGTACTACGAAGTAGTACACGTGCGATCGCGCTCGAGTACCTCTGTAAGAGTTCTATAGACCGCTGCACAGGACGTCAGCACTTACGTGAGCCGGTGATTCCAACCGGAAACCGATGAAAACTGTGAAAAGTAAATTGAAAAGCGGTTTTTAAAATATTTTATAAAAAATATTTGTGAAAAAATATTTTCAACAGAATATTCCTCAAAATATTTTCGAACGTAAAAAAATCGCTGTTTCCAAAAAAACAAGGAAAAAATGCGCTGAAAAAATTGTCCGGCTTTTTTTTTAAATAAGGACAAATTAAAATCAACCTGCCGTATCGCGTCGATCTGAACGCTCTATCGCTTTCGACAGACACGATCGTGCTGCGGTAATCGCGTATCGTGCATTTCAGTCGGCAATTGCATCGTGATCCGTTCGGAGGCTTTTACGAAAATTAAGAAACGGACGAGAAGACGTTCTGCGCGCGACTATCATATTAATAGTATCACGAGATATGGGGCCGCGCTTAAACGCGTCCTAAGAGACTATCCCGAGTGATTAACCTGATTTCCCGTTAAACTCGCTGCATTTTCCAAACGCCGGCTCTCCCTTAAATTTTAAATAATTTGTAAAAGGAGGCCGGGGAAGAAGTTTATTAATTAGGAATTCTGGGAAGGAATTAATTAGGGGAAACTTGAGGCGCATTTAAATTCTATTTTAGCTCCGCAGCAGAAGAAGCGTTTGATAATTGAAGGTAGTCAATGCGGTTATTATTGAGCACCGTATCTGCTATTGAACGTGACAATCGAAAGCTGATGCGAAACAATAAGGAATATTTTATGCGTCGGCGGAATGCCGACGCGGCAGCGCTGGTCAAGCGTGCACAAGTTTAGAAATCATTGTCGCTGTTGGGTACCTCGCCGATTCCGTGATGTATTATGCAGATCTTAGCGAAGGATATATAAACGAGTAGAGTAGGTAGAGACTGGTAGGTCATGTCGCCCACGTTTCGACTGAAAGGCCGAAGCGGACATTTTGAGAATTTCACGCGATCGATGCCGCTTTGTTACTTGATAGAGTCCCGCGTTCCTTTCGCATTCCTGCTATTCGTATTTTCAATTCTTGTTAATAACAATGCGAACAGTAGCATATAGTTCTGTGTGTTTTGTACAGAAGATATTTTGTATATTTACGCGCATAATTCAGCTTTGAATTTAATTCGGCTTTCAATAGCTTCCAATGGCGATTGGAAATCGCGATAAAAGTTCAATTTAATTATTTAAATGGCGAGATTTATTCATGTAACGGATGCAAAAGCTTTATCAATCAAGTAAAATCAACAGCGCGATACTCGCCACTCGTGGAATTTTCAATTAATAGCATAGGAAGAATTATTCAGTTTTACAGGATTATTATATTGTTTAACGAGAGAAAAAAATATAAAGAACAGATGAGCACGTATATTTTATTCATAAACGAGTCGTGCGCGCGATGGCAAATATTTTACATATATTATTTTATATATATAATTACAATTGAAAGAAAAGCGCGTTAAAAACGATCACTCGTGTTACTTGCGTTAGCTACGCAATCTTTGTTTATCAGCTTAAAAAAAAAAAATCGCGAACGAGACGCGAATTACCTCGAGACCGATCGTTGATCGCCGATAAAATCGTCGTCGTCGTTGCCGTGAACAGAATTCACACGTCGCTGCAGCCAATAAAGCTGCGATCAATAATTCAATGCGGGACGTATGCCTGTCTGGCCTCGAGACGCTTAATATAACGTGATAATTCAATTCGGAATGTATGCCATAATCATTGGTTATTTAAAAACCAAATGTTTTTAACCAAACTGCATTTGTGTGGAAACGATCGGCGAGTCTGGCGAGAAGTTCACGCGTTGTGCGGGCGCGTCAGTAAAATTTCTAGACAGGAGAAACTGTCCCGTAACTTATCGCAGGATACGCCTTCAGGGTTGCTGCATACAAATTTAGTTGCGAAACACCCCGTATAGTGACCTCCATTTCAAAAATCGATCATAACCCATCTTCATCGTGAAACAACCGGCCGATAAGCTTGTTCGCAGACCCAGCTTCCCATTTGTATTTCCGTCTATTATCGCTAACTGAAAATGTTCACGATACTTCAGCCGTATCGAAGGATATCGTAAATATCAATATCACTCGATATTTCCCATAAAAGCATTGATATTTCGCAATAACCGACATCACTGACACAATCGCGTGGAGAAATAACAGTTTAACAACGTTAAATGAAAGCCAATGTAGCTGGCTTCAACAAATCTTGTAATTAATTTAACATTGCAATACGATAACATACCGCCGCGTTGTATTTTACTTTAATGACGCATTAAAAATATGTATGCGGATGTATTGGGTATATAATATGCGACGTAAGAAAGTCATGTCACGTAAGCGGAAACCATGTATCGCCCGTCCTTACACGCAATCGGCGGGGTGTTTCGTAAAACGCGGTCGTCAAGCAGGGGGATGAAGGGGTTGCTCCGCGATCAGCCCTCCTTGGCCGCCCGCTCAGTGCTCGTGCGACCGTCGTTGGTATCGGACGTGTAATCCGGCAGCGTACGCGACTTCCGGCACGTCGGGAGAATTGCACGCGCGAGGACGGTTAGGTATCGTTCACACGCAGTGACATGCTTTATCACAACCGGTGCGCTGTCGGCGAGCCGACAGATATGGAAAAAATCATTCGACTGTGAAAAAAATCGATTATCGTCTTCAATTATTGCAATGCTTATTTCAAACCGCTATAATTGGACGTTATATATATAAATGATATCGAGTTCGATTTCGACACGGGATGGAATGTGTAGTTTTTACTCACACTGTTCGCGTTAAAGCTTCTAGCGATGCGCGAGAAGCACACATGGATGTATTATGTGTCATTTTTTTAAACACACAGAATTTATATCTTTTATAATAAAAATACGACATTCCTTAATAATTATAATTATAATCGCATTGGAAGTTTGTTCATTTATCAACAAAATATTTGTTCCGAATACAAATATGAAAATTATTTAGATCATATTAAATTTTTCTAATTAATATCAATATTAGGAATTTTGACTTTTTGATCCTTTTGCTGCGATAAATGCAGTTACATCAAAGTTGTATTTGAGTACGAAGTTTGTGCAAACTCCTTGCACACTGCAATGCAACACCGCGCGTTAATTCGCGTAAATGGCAGCGTGAAAATGTAACAAGTTAACAATTTGTTATAATGTTAGCTACGGCATTAATCTTTATGTGAACGATACTTCAGACGAAAGGAGATGCTGACGAGTGAACAGATTAAAGAGCAGATCTTTCACTAGCGTTAAAACACCGCGTCAACAGCATTATCGTGTCGCAGAAACGCGCAATACGAGATTCACCGGTCGGCGGGAATTCTCTAGAAATTTGACCCAATTCTTCACCCTTTAATCAGTGCGATTTATTAACGCAGTGTTTCTCGCTAATTTTTGTTTATTTGCATATTATAATTCTTTCTATTTATAAGTATTTCACGTAGTAGTTTAAATCTTACAGAAAATTAAAAAATGCGGAATTAAGCGGAATTTAATAAAGATAAAATTGAAATAAATTTCGGAAGTCAGAAATTTGCGTTGAAGTAGCTTATTTAATTAAAATCGAAGGTAATTTATTCTCTCGCTGCTCTTACGTTTCAAAGATTGTAATGAATTAATTATCACGATAGCATTTGCTATTTTTGTGTTTTTGCGGAATTTTTAGCTGCACACTTAGAAAGATTTATCGCGTGTTGAAGGCAAGTATAAAAGTGTGATAAACGCGTTACCGCAACGCCCGCATAGGACGCTATTACACCGCAGAATTTTGTTACTCTTTCACCACATCCTGTAATTATTTGTCAACCAAGTTAGGTTGCATTAGAATGTAATATAAAATAACAAAGCATCACGTACGAGATCACGAAATGAAAAGATACAATTATATTTACGATCCTTTTATTTGCTTCTCCATTTATAAATTAATTTTGTCCACGCAACGGACGAAGCCTATTTTATTTCTCCCTCTTATTGTTTTAACAAAATATTCTATTCTTATTAAATTCTTATTTATCTTTATGGCAATCTTTTAAATATAAAAATGAGTGAGTTGTTCACAAGTGAATAAGCTTCTTCAACGCATACTGTTAAAAATTTCTCGTATAATATTTCGCGAAACGCACATCGCAACGTACAAAATTGTGTGCGACGGCATAGTAATTATCGAGACAAATGTATTAATAGAAGCGAATGATTATGTTCATCTCACTTGACGGAGCGCAGCAAGTGGCGAAGCGTATGCGTGAGACTGCGGAGAAAATGGGAAAAGACTCTGCGGCTCCCATCGCGCCTTATTAGTTTCCGTAAAAAGAACTTATCGGATGCTTCGGCCGACTAATCATGACAGATCGCGGAGATTTCCGCGTTACCGGAGATCGAGCGATGCAGGTCCGATGTCGTGACCGAAGAACGTGATTAGACAACGAACGCTGCGAACGATAGACGAGACCATTTTTCACGCCCGCACCGCGCACTTTCTCCGCGCTCGTGAAGAATTCGCGAAAGAGTGCCAAATGAGAATAGAGCGAGGCGCGGTACTTCCGGGCCGCGATCCACTTTGCGCGTAGGAACGATCGATTTGCAGCACGTGGTTATCGATTGCGTAACATGTTCGCCGGCGCGACCGAGTCGAAACGATGGACGAGGGATAATAGGATTTTCCTGAGGTAATTCACGTTTTCGTGCAGACTTTCAGCGATGATTGATAGATCTAATTTAGCTTTGAGGAACATAAAATATCCATCGTGCAGCTAAATCGCTAATTTGCCAATATCGATGTAAATAACTATTATTTATGTCATTGTAAATTATTACGTAACCATATTTAGAGGTAAACGTGTGATACAATGATGAATCTAAATGTTATATAGATAATTAAATTTATTTGGATGATATTACTAAATTAATATTATATACATTATGATATTAATTACGCGACGTAAACATATTAACTTAACATTATTATTTTCTTGCTCTGAAACGGCGATTGAAAGATACTTCAAAGAATATTAATGTTTTTAAAAGAATATTTTTTACTGCGCGTTCTTTACATTTTACAAGCGGCTTTATGTTTATCGAGCTGCAGTAAGCGTAGTTTCTTCATTGTCAGTATGCAATAGCCTGGCCTTGTTAACATTACGAAATCATGGATACAAGGAAATAAGCCGGAATATAAATAACAGAGTGTCTCGAGATAATGTACTAATTGCAGAATTCTTATCTCGAAGAACGGTTTTTCACTCGCTGACATGTATACGCGAGAGAGGCCTGCGTATCGATTTGAGATTTGTGATGACCCTCGAAAGTTCGTGAAGCATCGTAACTATCATGACCTTGTCGAATTTAATCCTCCTCTCTCGCTCAGTGGAGTTCTCGAATCGCGAAACTACACTCCATTTGCCTCCGTTGCAGTCCGTGCATTAACTCTGCCATAGAAATTTAAAAAGCGCCACATTTATACAATTATTGAGATATTTAAATAATCTTGGAGATATCGAATGCAGAATTAAAATGAGAAATTGAGTTTCTGGTTTCGATATATTGTTAAGCAGTTTTTTTTATGTTATTTGACAGAGCGGCTAAGGATCTTGAGGAACGCCGCAGTCATTACGAGCCGTCGCTTCATCCAGGAGTTCCCGATGACACCGATCATAGCTTCAAAATCGAGGAAAATGACTTTGTGCCGCACTTTCAACGAGTCTCCATATCGGGGGAAGACACTTCCGGGGTGAGTCTCAAAATATTAACAATCTGCACAAATGTACGATTCTTATTTTTTTTTTTCTGAACAAAGATCATTGTATTAATTAATCATTCGAGTCGGAAAAGTGGAATCACGACTCGATACTTGGAAATGGAAATTATCGCACTACTTAGCGAGTATTTTTAGAACGGATATAATTTATCGGGAATATGATGAGCTTAAATGATCAAATTCATCAATTATTAATTATCATTCGGAGAATGGAACTGTGTGCATATTTTCTGGAACAATCGTGAGATATCGGTTGCTAGATAACGGGATACCGTTGTTTCACGGACGCTATTGTGCACAATGTGCCTCCGGAGATTTTGCGTGAGGTGGAAACCTTGAGACTGTTGGGGAAACCCTCATCGTTTAGCTTTTATCCCTCCTCCCTTCGCGCCTCGTGCTCGCATTATTTTATGAAAGGCGCTTTACGCCACGGAAGAAACCGAGTTCTCCGCTCACTATATGACCTTTATGTCAAACGCGTCAAAATCATTTTACTCGTCTGGACTTTTCGAACGGGATTTTTTAAACAGATATTTTTTGAAATGCACTCTCGAATAAAATGCACATATTTCACATTCGCTTTTTATCGCACGGTAAAAATATGTCGTAAGAAAAGATGAGAAACGGAGTCGTCGAAAATGATTTAATGGCCATCAAAGTCCGATCGAACTGTCGTTGATATTTGATTTTTAGAAAATTATTTCGCCCCAGATTATTCGACGATCTCGATTGATTTCGTTATTGCATTTTGTCTTTTAAATTCTACGCAGGTGCCTTTGGAAGATCTTCAAAGGGCCTCCAAGATGCTGGTGCAGGCATTAGCGATACGTGAGAAGTATATGAACAATTCCAAGCAGACTTACCCCTCGATCACGTCTAGATTCTTGCGTAGTATCGACAAAAGACCGCTCACCACGGACGACGAGGTTCACCACGAAGATCGCAAGGCCATCGAAGGTAGTTACTGTTGCTGCTCGCGTTGAACGGCTCGAGGCCTTAAAGCCATATGTCAGAAATCTAATTTTCGACGCTCTATACCCTCGTTACACGTACCTTCCCGTTGATCGTCCCGCCCTTGTATCGTCCCTCACTAGGAAGTCACGTGATTGTCGTCTCACGAAACATCTTCAGCGCAATTAACACCTAGCGCTTCAAACGCCGATCGCAATAACGACGTCAAGCTGCCGTCTTGTATGTGTTGTGTATTTTTTGTCTTTTCTTTTTCGTCGACGGAAAAAAAAGAAGGAAAAAAAAAAAGAGAGAATACGGTACGCAGAGCGCGTATCCGAGTTCGCGCGGGGCTCGTATCCATCTCTCTATCTCTCTCAGACACAGCTTTATCAAGCCTAGCGTTATCAAGCACCTAGCTACACTTTAAGTTTAATGAAGTGTTTACGAAGTCAGTTCTGTTATATATTTCCTAAGGGAAAAGGCGGCTGGATATTGAGAACAAAATCATGGATGCTCGATCCGACGCGGACATCGACGCGCTGATCAAAGACGTCTCACGGACAGGTCCTCCTAGTACCTATTAATATCCTTACCTTGAATTTCCTGTTGCACGCTGTTTCGAGTCACGTACTGTATCTATATTCTTTATAGAGTTTCTTTTTTCTTTTCTCTCTCTCTCTCTCTCTCTTTCTCTCTCTCTCTTTCTCTGTACATCACGCGAGATAATTTTGTATCGAAATTAAAATGAACAGCGCTGTAGCAACAGATATTATTCGGCGCGCTAAGTGTACGCTTAGCTAACGTTACGCCTGCTCGATTATCAGATCATCCGGTGCACGCACCCGCATCTCGGGGCGACCCGTGGGAGTGCGAGTTCCCACCGACGAAAAACTACAAGATTGCGCCGATTAACGGCGTGTTCAACTTGTTCGCCAACGACGAGGACCTGGCCGCCGGCAAGCCGCTCCCGTATTCCTACCCGGATTTGGCGATTTTCGTACGGGACATGAACCTGCTTTGCGCGATGATCGCGGATGGGCCACTGAAATCCTTCTGCTACCGAAGACTGAGTTATCTCTCCTCCAAGTACCAGCTGCACGTGCTACTGAACGAGCTCAGGGAGCTGGCGAGTCAGAAAGCCGTGCCGCACAGGGACTTCTATAACATCAGGAAGGTCCGTAAATAGTACACAATTGAAAACTATAATTTTGGAAGGTCGGAATTGGCGCGATAATTGCATTAAGTCGACATGCGGTAGTCACGTTGAAGGAAACGTTGGGGAAACGGCGTTACACTGCTTTGGAATAATTCCGAGTGTATCAAAAGTCTTGTACTGATCTCGATACAGTTTGCGGAAGAAAGTCTTTTGTTTAAAAGAAAAACTCTAAACTTCTTTCCTCGAACTTGATTAATTGCTACGGCTTTTCGGTTTGCGATATTCAAGAGGAAAAAATTCGCAAGACAAAAAGTTCCGCGCTCTTTTTATATTGTTGTACGAGTTATTGTGTCGCGGAGCGTTAATTAAACATTGAATTTTTCTAAAAATAGTCGACCTATGCCACGAACACCGCGGAGTATGTTGCGGTAATAAACGCGATCGATTTCGCGGGCGCAACAGTTTTGAGTTGAGCCGTTTTGTTTATGCATCGATTGTTTTACATTTACAGGTCGACACCCACATACACGCGGCTTCGTGCATGAATCAGAAGCACCTGCTCAGATTTATCAAGAAAACGTTGAAGAATCACGCAGACGAAGTGGTCACTTCTTCCAAGAATGGCGAGACCATGACGCTCCGCGAAGTCTTTCAGTCCATGAACCTGACGACCTACGATCTGAGCGTCGACATGTTGGATGTGCACGCGGTAAGCGTCTCCGCGAACGGTGTTTACGTTCTAGATGCCAGCAAAGTTCGCGAACAAAAGTGTAACGTTGGACTTTTTTGTTCTCTCGCAGGATAGAAACACGTTTCACAGGTTCGACAAGTTCAACGCGAAGTACAATCCGATCGGTGAGAGTCGCCTGCGCGAAGTTTTTCTGAAGACCGACAACTACTTGAACGGCACATACTTCGCGAGAATAATTAAGGAAGTTGCGAGCGACCTCGAGGAGTCCAAGTATCAGAACGCTGAGTTGCGTCTCTCGATTTATGGCAAGAACCCGGAGGAATGGGACAAGCTGGCCAAATGGGCGATCCAAGGTGACGTTTATTCGGACAACGTGCGCTGGCTCATACAGATTCCCAGACTATAGTGAGTTTGTCATTTCATTACGGAGATCGCACATGAGCGCGATATATCTCGCCTTCGATTTTCATCACTCGTCTTTTTTTGCAGTGATATTTTCAAGCTGAATAAGCTCATGTCGAATTTCCAAGAGATCATCAACAATATCTTCCTGCCGCTCTTCGAAGTGACCAACGATCCTCATTCTCATCCAGAGCTGCATAAATTTCTCCAATATGTACGTTTGTTTTATATTTCTTATTATTTCTTTCATTGCAGATGTTTTATATTTATTATATTATCACAGGTAATAGGTTTCGATTCTGTGGACGACGAGAGCAAGCCGGAAAATCCTCTCTTCGACAAAGACGTCTGTTCACCGGCGGAATGGGACGACATAGAGAACCCGCCCTACGCATATTATCAATACTACACTTACGCAAATATGACGGTTCTCAACCACTTTAGAGCGTATGTTGCGCCTTTTTTCCCATTTCAATTAATTATTGCGCGATGCGATCTTGAACGTGAAATATTTGATACAGAGAACAAGGCTTCAATACGTTTGTCCTGCGGCCTCACTGCGGCGAAGCTGGTCCTATTCAACATCTCGTGTGCGGCTACATGATGGCGGAGAATATTTCACACGGCCTGCTGCTGAGAAAAGTCCCCGTGCTCCAATATCTGTATTACTTGGCGCAAATCGGCATCGCAATGTCACCGCTCAGTAATAATTCGCTTTTCCTTAACTATCATCGCAATCCGCTTCCAGAATACCTTGCTCGAGGATTATGCGTAAGCTTGTCCACGGACGATCCTCTTCAGTTTCATTTTACCAAGGTGAGAGATAATTATTACTATTATTATTATTATTACTATGTATCGTAGATAAATTGGGTTGAGTTATAAATATGCCAGTGATTATAAAAGTAACATATTTTTTGTTTTAAGATATTTTTATGTTTGGATGAATTAAAAAATATTCTTTGTAATTTAAAAAATCCAATATATTTTTATTCTTATAATGTAATTCTTTAATCCAGATAACCAAATGTTAGCAATGTTGATAGCAACTTTGATCAAATTTACTACTATAATATAATTCTTTTTTACAAAAAATAAATAAATTTTTCTTATTTTTTTCTTTGGACACTTTCATAATTACTGGCACAAGTAATTTTCGCGGCAAATGCTTGTGAAAGAAACGGAAGTTGCTCATAACTTAATTTGATATTACAAAGAAATATGTTCATTTGTCCATTAAATGTACAAAATTATTATTATCCTATGATTATTAGTATATCTCTTAATCAGTATGATGTCTTAATTATAGGAACCCCTGATGGAAGAATACAGTATTGCTGCACAAGTGTGGAAACTGAGTTCGTGCGACATGTGCGAGCTGGCACGCAATTCCGTCATCATGAGCGGCTTTCCGCACAAAGTGAGTAATTATATCATCTCTCCATCCCGCACCCGTATATGTAAAGAGATCGGATTGACGCTTCCTCGAGCGTTGTGTGAGCTCTCTCGTGCATATGTACATACATGGATTATTGCAAGACACCTGTCGACTTTCTATTCCGTAAACCTATTTAATGCGACTTGATAAATGAACAATTGTACATGAGATTATTCTCCGTGTTGCAGAGCAAGCAGTACTGGCTGGGGCCTAACTACACGAAGGAAGGCGTCGCTGGCAACGATATCACGCGAACCAACGTGCCGGATATACGGGTGGCCTATCGATACGAGACGTTGGTTGATGAATTGTCCAATATTTTCAAGGTCGTGGAGAAACCCGAGTCACTTCCATTTTAGCAGATTATTATTTGTGGGCGATCAGAAGTGATGGATTGATTACGTGACGGCAACATACAGTTCATAAATAGAAGATTACTCGTGCGGCTTATCCTTGCGATTCCTGGCCTCCTCTTATCCTGGTCCTTAAAATATTCCTGGAATATTGGTGAGTTTTTTTTATCAACTCACTGAATTATTACTTTAAACTATATAATTCTTTCAATCTTTTCCTGTTAAGAAACATCGTTTGGGTGAAGTTCGAATTTGCATTTCGAACAAAATCCAATCTTAAACCACAAAATAAAAACAAGCTGCGATATATTTGCATAATAGCATAATTTAAAAATTATGCAATATCTTTTATTGACTTTTCGAACTTAAACATGTTTAAGAGATTGCAATGTGTATCATGTAAGATTAACAAGATAATCATAAGTCGTAGTTATAGGTATCTAATGGAAGATTTTGCAAATTTTGCAAAGCAGTTATAATTTGACGATAAATTGCATATTTAATTGGAAAATAAGAAAAAAACAAATTGTGTAATTTTCAATCACGATGAACAGGATTGATAAGAGTTTGGTGTTGATCTTGAAAAAATGACGGTTTGAAAAAAACATGATATGATATTTTACGTTTTCATTGGGCAATGTAAGAGATTCTTTTAACTCATTCCTACGCAAAACTTTACTCAAATAACTTTTAGCATCTTTTTTTTCGTATCTTTATTATTTTATAGTGGATTATTATTTTTTTTGTAATGATTATAGCATTTAGAGAGACTGGAAATTTGTCACGATGAACGCATGACAACTGTCACTCACTATGACTAACGCATATATTGCATTCGTATCGTTGATATATCGGTAAATACTTTTTTGTCACTTTTTAATTGAAGTAACTAGTAGAAATCAGTTTGCTTGAATGTCATGTAAATCGCTTTCGTCTTCTCGTTATCAATATCTTTTCTATGAAGATCTTTCAATCGCAGGGATAAATCTTGTCAAAAATTATATATATAGACCACAATATTATATATTATATATATATATATGTTGACCAATTTAATAGTAGTTGTTAGAAGATATTTCTTCTATCGCGCGCGTTGCAAAATGTTAATACACACACTAGCATAGATATTGTAATACGAATTAAGGTAGAGTTGAGTATTACGTTAATTTACCTTAGCGTTAAGCATCTCGTGATGGAATAAATCCGTTTTTCATATCTCGGCTGGGCAAGACGACAGCGATACTCTTTCTTGGATTTTAGCTTTATTTTCTTACATTTTTGTACATTTATATCGTGAAATCGTGTATGACATTTGTTTCGGCGAGTATGCAGAGTAGCTGGCTCGTATGCGGATAGTTAACTCGTGCCATTATACACACTGCAACAATCTTCCCCATTTTCCGTAAATAGTGTAAATATGGACTTAATTTAATTAGGGCTGATACTTTACGAACTATATGTGCGTGCCAAGGTATGATACAGCAATGTAAACCCGCTGTCCCTCCTTTTCGCCTTAATTTTACGCCTGGCTTTTCTCACAGTTTCTTGTGTCTGCCATTTTCCGAGAGAACTTTCCGAACAACGAGCCTAATTGAGCGATTATATGACGATCTATAACGGGACAATGTGCTCTGATATCGAATTTAAATTGAATTGTTATATTAGATAGAGGAAGAAAGATATATTTATTGTAAAAAGTATATATATATATATATATATATACTATGAAGAGAAATATACTTGCATCGTTAAAAACAAATTTGCATAATTATTCACAATGCACTATTTATGCACTAACGATAGCCTCGACGATAGATCTAACGATAATTGCGAACATTAGCGAAGTATTTTGTTGGAAATATCAGGTTCATAATGAGATGATATAAAAGGTTCAATCGAGAGTGTGAGTAACGAGATTATGATTTCATTTTATTCATTAGTTAAATTAAGAAAATATAGCATTGAGGTAGTAAAATATTACAATTTCAAATTCTACTCGCCACTATGTTACAGAAGCATATAAATTTATACAAAACAACGGACGGTACCGATCACTTTCTTGGTGTTATATACATTTGAGAGTTTTTCTTAGATGTCATACGTTCCACGTAATCCGAATAATGCTTATATTAAGAATTTTTTTTTAAGAATTCGTACAGAACTATTGCGCAAGCAATAGAAATAAAAGATATGTAAAAGTTTTTTTTTTTTAATATTAATGTATCTAATTCGCTTTCTTTGCTTTAGGTACATGTTGTATGCTTTGTGTAATCTTTGGTACGATTTCCGTGAATATAATTGTACCTACGAAGACTAACAGTGTGCCGATCCAGTGGTAAATAGTGAACGGATTCTTGAAATAGATTATGGAGAATAACAGGGACAAGAACTTGCGCAATGTTATTACCAAAGTGACGGTGAGAGAACTGCATTCCGTGGTCAATACAAATACAGAGCTAATGCACATGTATCTGAAAATGTGATTAAGGAAAATACTTTGTAGGCGTGATGGTAGATACATCAGATAAATGAAGCTGCGTGTAGCTGCGATAAGAAAAGGATACTGTGTCAAAATGTTTCCGATTAAGTATACAATTAATGATGGTATACTTATGCCAATGAGAGGCAAACTCAGCGGCTCCGATGCCCACGCAAAGTTCCAGTGATCATAAATATTAGGCACTAGCATTAAGAAAAATGGCAAAGGTAACAAATGCTGCAAAAATATTTTGTATATTATATTGACGATCAATGTGACATTAATATGTAATATGTAATATGTAATACGATAAAAAATAATGAACTTACAGTATAATACAGAGCCTCTCGTGCATTCTTGCCGTACCGGCTGTACAGCACTTCTTGATAGATGCCCATTCTAGCGGAAACGAATAAAGCAATTGTAAGTAGGGATATGCCTAAGATCCACCAAAATAAGTCTTCCAAATGTGTTGTGGCCACTTGATCCACATTCTTCTGTTTCAAGGACTTGATTTCGGTGCCACTAACAATTGTGCAGACTGCTATTCCCAAGGTAATCATGAATACTGACAGATACTTGCTAAATGGATACTGCTTCTTTAAAATATATATACCCATAATCATATTGGCTATCAGAGAACCCTAAATAAAATAATATACATTAAATATTTGCGGTAGAATGATTTGTATCATCAAATTGAATATTATTGATACTTACAGCTCTAAATATCATATGTAATGGCATGGGAATATTGAAATCAAAGGCATAATTATTGCAAACATTGGCAATAAAGAACATCGCGACTAAAATAAAGTAGTCCTTTATGCCTATAGTTGGTTTGACAGTACCACATTTGGATGTAAACAAAAACCCTTCGAGGGCTATGAAGAGAAATTGCGAAAATGTGATAAGATTTCCGCTGCCAGGATCATCCCTGAAATCGATTTAAGTCATCCATTTGTCATATCAACATAATTTTATTTTGTAATAATAACAATTTCATTGTGACAACGATAAAAGTGCTGCAATAGTTCCGAATAAAGTATAAAAAAAGGCAGGTAAATACATTACTTTTAGTCGCATTAAATTACGAACATTATGATAGAAATCATGAATAAAAGAAACGATGAAAAATTGACATTAGATAGCGTAATGTTCGCGTGTTATTTTCTGCGTGTTATGCAACATGTCACATCGGCTAAGTCATTGGTACTCACTTAACAAGTAATTCTAGGAACACGACGTTGGTGCAGCAGCCGAGGAACACACAGAGCACCGCGATAGCTGTCTGCATCGTGCCGTCCGAGAGCTTCCTCTCCCAGTTCCAATCGGTCCTAAAACTGCGATCTAACCTACGAGTTGTGTCGATGGACGCGGTTCACCACTTTGCGTACGATCCATTGGCACACTGCGGCACTGTATCCATCGTTGATCGCGAATTATCAGTGATTCACGTAAGCATGATAATGCGATGTATCGCGCGGTCGCGCGAAGCGTGTATACTATATATATATGCATATACATAATACAAGTTTAACCTGTTCACGTTCCACGTCCAAGAGTCCTTCATTTTCTAGTGATAAGACTCTACTTATTCATTCCGGCACGAGTAAGAATGTTAAGAAGTGGCTACTGCGGGCTTACTTTACGAATAACAAAGAGTTAATACACAAATAATTAATGTGTATTAAAATTACTGAGTCTTTTGCAATGAACACTACCAAAATAATATTTTTTTTTTATTATTACATAATAAAATTAGATAATTAAATTAATCACTATAATTAATTCATTTATTTGATTATTTTTATTTCTGTTAAAATATTGTAAATTTTTTGCATTTAAAATTATTATTTTGTTCATACTTACCGCTTTGATATATCGAGATGCTATTTCGATATATCGAGAATCGCAATACTGTTCTTCGATGGACTTCAAGTCGCATTTAGCCGCGAATGGCCGCCATGTTGGTGAATTGTAGAATGGTGTTAGCATTGCTCCGTATTTTTGACTGTTATTATTGTGAGAAATGGATCTCGCGCGCGAATTATCGAAAGTGATTTATAAAGTGCTTGTGGTAACGTATAAGCACCGTGTACAATTGTATCGTGTGGTACTTTACTCGCGAAGCGGCTTCGGTTTCGACGATCCACTTCTGTCTGAATTCGGTAGAAACTTTGTTTGGGCATTCACGTCGAAATATATCGAAAGAGTTTAGAATTTTCAAGGCATAAAATTATTAGAAGCGTCTCGAAAGTGCTTGTCATAATGTGAGCATCGTGTTTAACTGCTATTATATTGTGAAATAGTGATATCAGGTTAATATTATGTTATATTCTATTTATATTTAATCGGTTTTGATATCGGCACTCTATTTTTTTCCGTAATTGATTGAAATACTTTTTGTGCATTTGTTATGCTGAAATACAACGAAAGTGAAGACGACACGCGATTATTGTCAGATATGTATGTACATATGTTGTTCTGTATCAAGTACATTTTTTATTATTTCGTTTCTTTTTGTATATTATTATGTATTTTATAATGCTTGTTATAATATAAGCGTGTATATTGTTTTGATACGCTAATATCTTGATTTCAGAATCAACAGTTTACTTCTGTGCCTGGGAGTTGATTGCAATCCTCTGCTTTATCATCTCATGTTTCATCATTATTTTCTCATCGCAGTACAACGAAAAGGCAAATGATGTATGATCATCGTTCGGTAAGTACATATTATCATTTTACAAGTAGTTCTTTGATATTATTTTCTGCATTCTTATCAGTAAGAATTAGAAAGTCAAAAATATTATTTTATATGGTTTATATTTAAACCAAAGATATTCGTTATTGCGATATTACCATTGATCGGTTATGTCAAGATTTTTTAATTATATCTAATTGAGGCAGTATTGCTGCAAAAATGTGACCCCAAAGCACATTGAATATTGCTGTAGGAATATTAACAATAGAGAAGTGTGAAAATTGATACTTTTATATGCATTATTATTTTATACAATACATATTACATAGATATGGATTTAATATTCAATATACTGATTATTATAATGATACACTATCCGATTTTATTAACTTTGTCGATGCAATATAGTTTTACATGATAATCTATATACATATTAGAGAGAAAAGCTCGAGAACACAGTCAAATTAATTTTTCATAGAACGCTCTTAGAATGCTATGCGTTAATATATATAAAACACGATAGATATGCATTAAGCTACGTAATATACTATATTTTCCATTGATTATTCATTATTTCATTATTTGAGAACTTGAGAACGACGTTGCATTGTTACATCCATCTTAATTCTTTCCATACAGTCATCTATTATCTTTAAAACATCTTAATAACTTCTCAATCTTTTCTTATTCTATATATACTATACTACGTTTGATACTAATTTAACTTTGACGATGAATGAAGACCAAACAATAAAGTTATTAATTATCATTATTAATGAAATTTCCATGATTGATTGACGTGTCGCAAGTATTAATGATTTATCACAGCTATATTTTCGCATCACAAAATTATTACGTTGTAACAATAGAAATTTGTATTGGTACAATAAATCGTATAAAATTTTAATATTTGTAAAAATTTTATAGAAATATTTTATTAACATATAAAATTTTTTATTGTCTTACAAAAATTATTTAGTATTTAAATAGCTTCTTGATCTTTATATTAGAAAATATTAGATTCTTTATCTTATACAAAAAAGTTAATATTAGACTTTACATTACAATGTAATTCATATTGCATAAAATCCTGCAGCAACAAGATTTGTGCTGTGCAAGAAGTATTATATAATTTACGAATTTTTTTCTTGAAAAGCAGAAATCAAAAGCTGATTTTTTACAACGCAAAAATCTTATTTAGTAAATCTTATTTTAATTAATAATTTCAAATTTTATAATTTTATAATTATACAATATTTTATACAATATTTTATAATTTTAATCGTTATATCTTAATTATTGAACTTACATAATTTTTATTATTGACACTTATTAAGTCGTATTATGTAGTAATACGACTCAATAAGTTATGTAAAATTATGTAGTAAAACAAATTATAAAATTATAAAATCTTTTTTAATGAACATGATTTGATAATTCAAATGCATCAAAGAGATTGATAATTAATTAACTTCGTTGTTTGACGATATTAAAATTAAGCTAAAAACAATACTAAGTTAATTAAAATTAAAGCCGTATAATTCTTTTTTTCAAAGAGATAAATCGAAGATTGACGTTAAAGCTAAGCATTTTTTTTTTTACGAACTCATCTTTCTAACATATTGAAAAATGAAACTTTTTTTTCTCGTTTTCCTCATTCTAACATTATTAATATTTTTGGCTATTATTAAACTCGGAATCTGCATCATTAATAATTAGAAAAGAGGAAAAACTTTTTAAAAATTAAAAAAAGGAAATTACGAAGAAACATTTATAAAATGCAAATCATGCGATTTGTATTTTCTTTCTGAGCAGTATATAGATTCGTTTAGCCATTTTTCTAATTTAACACGATATATATACATTTCACTGATGCCTCAGCCTAGAAAAATATATAAGAAACGATCCAGATATATTTTTAGCTGCCTTGTTCCTTCTTCGCAATTTCCTAAAAATAAGACAAATTTCTCAGTGCTAGATTTAGGCCAACGTTTTACTCTTTTTCACGTCTTTCTTCGCTATTAAATATTTTAGAATTGCTTTTAAAAAGTAAAATCCTTTATTGCATGTTTTATTGCGTATTGAAACACCAAAGAAAAAGACATGTCTCAACAGTATTGAAACTGTTTTTAACCTATACACTGCTTGAAAAAGAATACTTGGAAAGAAATCGCCTTTATCGTTTACGCGGTGTGAGTTTGAGACGGATTCCGTTCGCGTTGACCAGCACCAATTCGGATATGAAGCGCAGTTGATCCTCTTTATCGAGAGCCTCCACGCGATAGGTCTTTAGTATCAATAAAACGGCCACTTTGACGACCATTAGGGCGAATTTCCAGCCGATGCAATTGCGCGAACCGGCGCTGAAGGGAATGAAGGCGTAAAGGGGTAACCTCGGCTTATCCGGCAAGAATCGCTCCGGACGATAAACTTGCGGCTCGGGGAAATGACGTGGATCACGATGCAGTAGATAAGAATTGATAAGAACTGTCGAGCCCCGTGGAATTTCGCTTCCCACTAAAAATAGAAAAGAAATATCTCATTAGCTAGGAGTCTACTTATATCGCGCGACTGTCCACACACTATTCTCATAATGCTAATAACTGCGTTTCAAAATCTGTCATTTAACCAATTTAAAATAGTACTTTAAAAGTATTTTATCTATTAATCATTGATACATTTTAGAAAAATATCGAGTTGATCAGAAATTTGGATTTTTGCCTTTTATTTTTATCGAAAAATTCAAAGAAACTCTCATCAACCCAATATTTGTATTTTTAAAATATATTAATTATGAGAATAACTTACTTATTTCGATCGGCTTGTAAATCTGCCTGGCGATGAGTGGAGCTACTGGAAAAAGTCTCATCTGCTCTTTGATGCAGGCTTCTAACCATGTTAATTTGTGTATATTGTCCACTGTGACCTCCGCTGAGCCCAGCAATTCGTCGCATTCGTCCAGAATTTTTTCCTAAAAAAATTCAAATTGAGTTAATGTCACATTAACATCAATTAAATTCAATTAAATCTTCTGGATATTTGAAATGCCCTATAAAATCTATACATTAATCTTATGATTTAACGTGCATATCGAGATATAAAAGTATCGCGTCTACAATTCAAATCAGAAATCACATTGAAGATATAGTAGAAAATTGTGAAGGGATCCACTAGATCAATAAACGTTTCTCGTGTAAAGGAACGTACTTGATATTGAGGATTTCGTCCCAAGGCATAAAGCGTCCAACTTATGCTAGTGGCCAGCGTGTCGTGTCCAGCGTACATAAAAGTGTTGACTTCTTCGCGAATATCATCGTCCGATAGGATGGTGCCATCCTGTGATATATCCAGCAACAAATCCAACAGAGCTTTTTTTTTCTTCATCGGCTCGTTGAAGTTACCGTCACGTTTAAGTTTCCTCTCGGAGATTACCTGTGAACAATATATTCCAGATGTTTTTGCATATTTAACATCCGCTCGTTTCACATACGCGTCAAGTATCGAAAACAGAAATAGATTAATTGTTTTGATAAAATTTTTTTCATACGCCATATATCAGCGTTTATCATTTCACTGAAATTTATCTTTAAAAATAGTTAAAATTTTGTTCGAATCTTTCGAAATTGAATATATTAGAGAAAGATATCTTTGTGCAGAACGTTGGAATTATATAAAGACGTTAATCACAATAAACTTGCAAATATAAAACGATTATATTAAATTAAAAAACATGATTACCTTGCCGACAAATTCATGAATAATATCAAGCGAATGATTGTGCACCTTTCCGGCCTTGGTTAGCTTAAAAATCGAATCTGACGCTATCCACACGTTCGTAAAGCGCATTTGCACAATAGACGCGATTCTAAAAATAAAATAACAGTTTTTTTTAAAAAGGTCATATTTCAATATTTCAACATTAAGTAAAATGACACCAAAAACGTGAAGAAAAACAATTAAAAAAAAAATAACTTACTTGTCCACAGCCTCGACGTATTTATTGTTCAACTTTTTTTGCGCGTTAAGTTTGTAGCCCATCGCTGTGTCTGCAATAAAATTAGTAAAAGTTTCGTATGAGTCCAAATCGAACATTTTAATATTTGGAGCATAATATAATATGTATACGTATGTACGGTCGACAATTTTTAATAACTCAACTATTTAATAATTGATATAGTATAAATATTTATACATATACACTCTGCAAAAAAATTAGGGAATTACTTTTTTTCCCGCAAAATAAAGGCCATTTTCAACTGGCTATAACTTTGTTGAAAATGATCCGATTTTAATGGCAAAAAAAGCATTTTGAAGGTTGAAGTTTTAACTTTCAGAATCTTTTTGCAGATTTAAAAAATTGTTTCAAAGTTATGATATTAAAAAGCGGCTCCCGACAAATTGCAAAATTTTTTGCTTTGATTTGATTGCTCTGTTTAAAAATGGTGTACGATGGTTCGGCTTTTATAGGCGGTTAAAGTGTTTTGGACGGTTTTTGCTTTGGTACTGAATAATTTTTGCCTTCAAAATCGGATCATTTTCAACAAAGTTGTAGTCAGTTGAAAGTGACCTTTATTTTGTGGAAAAAAGTGATCCCCTAATTTTTTTGCGGAGTGTATAAATTCTATGTTAAGAAATCTTATAAGGTCATTAGTTTGAGGATTTTTATTTTTAGTAATGCTTGCAATAATGTTTTCAACACAACATTGCGATATACTATCACTGCGAATTAATCCATTATATGTTTTCGCAAGAATATATATAGATAAGTGAAACTATAAATAAAACTTCAATTGAAATGATTCATGATGAGCAAGATAAGATTCGGGATAAAATTCTATTTATAACTTTATGTGTTACATAATACAAAAATTATTACATGTCACTAAAACGACATTGTGCAATATAAAGTTATAAATAAAATTTTATTTTAAATTTGTAAATCGTAAATTATCTAAAGCGTAAAACAATTTTATTCTGAATATACGCGTTTCAATGCCGCTTCGTCGAAACATTCTCGAGCAATCGACAATCGGCAAATGATAATCGATCATTAATTTTCATTTCTTGTCAATTTAAAAAATTCAGGATGTTATAATGTAACAAAAATATAATTTTAAAAATGCAGAAAAAATTGGATATTATATAAATTTATAAAGTATAAATTATAATTTTGAATGAACGAATTTTAAATTACCGACATAATTGTGAATAAATGGCAGATTTCATATCTCTTCAGAGTTCGGAAGAATTCATAAAATCTACGACATTGAATCTGTCTAATAAAGATTTATTAACCGAGACAGAGCAATCTTTCGAAAAAAATGCATCAAGCGTTCATTCGAAGAACAAAGATTCAAAATCACGCGATGGTGGTGCGGGCGATAGCGAAATTTCGGCAGTGCCGAAAACTTCAAAGTCCAATCAGAAAAATATTATCTGCATGTCAGCGGTATTAAGGTTATCTACACCACGAAATTACAACCTCAATGTTGCTTTGAAAGATATGACTCAAGTATGAAGTATTTCTGATTGAAATTTTTATGTTATAGGAAGATATTTATGTAACTTTAGTTACACTGAATTATATAATATTTGACGTTTAATTATTTCAATCGTGAAGAAAAAAACTGAAAACATAAAGTGCGTTAAAATGGAATTATATTATAGTCGAGTGTTATTATCTCATTTATGTTTTCAATGCTTTTTTGGCTTCAAATGAGTGCTAGTCTTTCAAAAATTCTGGTAATTCCCTTGTAATTTCTGCTTTATCTTAAAGTGGAATCTCACATTTTCAATTATAACAGAGTTTAAAAATATAGAATTGCAATTTCAATATTTTGAATTTTGCGATAGATATAATCTCACATCATAAAATTATTAAATTTGTTTAGGTAAAAATATCTGCCTTGCTTTATGAGATAACAGATCGGACAAATCGATTGGCTCAACCTCGATCCCGTGTAGCAGAGATTAAAGCATCTCAAAAGCCTTTGAAAAGCAGAATTCCAAAGTCGACACTTCGCATTTGCGAGCTTGCATGTCCAAAAGTGATTCGCGATTCACCACCGAAGCCTGTTAATTTTGTGTCACCAAACGCGCTTAAAGCGATCGGTTAGTAATTTATAGATCTCTAAAATACTTAGCAATTTTTTAAGCAGGCTATTGTGAGATTTACTTTATTAAAATTATATTTAGCGAAAGTAGTTATTTATAAATTCAATATGATGCAAGAAATAATTCCAAACGTAAAAAGAATCATCTCTGTTGGAATACGAGCAATTATTAATTAAAAAGTATAAATCTGAGTAGAAACACCAATTAAACATTACCATGTTATTTAATGTGAACGTCGTAGCTACGCAACGGATAATCGAGTTATCACGACCGCGGAAAGATCGAAGTTTCCAGTTACCGAGGCATAAAACAGAGATATTTCGATCGTGCAATTTGAGTATTCGCGGTTTACCCAAGATGAAGCAAGTAGATCGTTTGCGCAACGGAGCGAAACCATTCGAATCGTCGATGAGAAATAAATCAGAATTGCTACAAGAATCTTTATGGTAATATATAACTCTATTGATTTTTGAATGTTCTTAATTCTGAACATTAAGAATTTTTGTTACCACAAATTATGGACGTAAAATCGATACAACATTGTAGTGAAAAAAAGAAGTGTGAAGGAATTTTCTGCGACGGCAGTCGTCTTATATCGCGCATTTTAAGTATATTTTGCTGCGCTACTTGAATATAATCGGACTTGTTAAAAGACACGGTGGAATTTTTTAACAGAAATGTTTTATTGTCTTTCTTGACAATAGGGACGCTTCAGGCCTTCTTTATATAATTTTATTTAATACTAATATTAATAATACAGTATATAAAAATATTTTAAACTGTAAAGTAGAATTGATGTATCTGGCTGGCATACAGAAATCTCCTTCGATCTTTTAAAATTTAATTATATGTACTGTTACGTGATTCGCTTCAGTTCGACTTTAGACAATGGCCGTCACGCAAAAAGCAGACGAAAAAACTTGAAACAAATAAACAAATTGGAAGTATCGAAGATAAAACAAAAGTCGTCATCGCGTTATTTTAACGATACGAATTCAAATAGGAGTGTTGTAATCGTCGACTTGTATCGAAAAAGTGATCCCGGATAAAACGCTATTCGTAAATAAACGTTGTTGCAAAGTATTAAATGATAACGATAATGATAATTAGTCGATGATTAAGTAAACTTGACATTTTCGCAACATAAATCATTCAATAAATAAAAAAATAAACAACATTAACTCACAAAAACTTTTTCAATATTAAGTATCATATTTTTTACGAACACAGGTGATTTTATATTAACAGCTACTTGAATACTGTTCTATCAATGCATTTTTTAAATAAACTCATTGTTGTAAATAAAATTATTATTGAGCTCAAATTGCTAAAGTCAATAAATGTTTGTAAACGCATAGCATTTATTGTTTAGACAGTTTTTATAATTTTATCTTTTTTTAATTGAATTATTCATACATTCTTGATTTAATAACCCGCAATTATTGAAATCTTTAACATGTATTATGCAACAATGTTACACACAAAAAAATCGATACGTATAATTTTCTTTATAAAAGATCCATGAATAAAATATTTTAATGCAGATATACTGAGTTGACGTAAATGTTTCTTTTAGCTGTTAAAAAAATAATTATCGATTTGAATGAATAAATCTCGATGTAAAAAATTATTGTGTTAATTACATCAGGATTACAATTAGCGACTTACCGCATATAATGTCAAGAGCAGCGCGTTTTACATAAGGAACCACATCGAACCAGCAACCGACTTCCTTCCCGAGACAAGAAATTAGAACATCTGTCTCTTCTTTCACATTCTTCAAGTAGACTTCGATGAGATTGCTGTGGAAGGTCGGCGTCAGTAATTTCCTGCGGAAATGCCATTTTTGTCCTGAAAAAAGGAGAGAATTTTAACTTTTATTTCAAAGAATTGATAAAATTTCGCACAACAAAGTGCATAGCTGCGCAGGTGTTCGATCGTTCGACGATGTAATCGGCATATTGAAAGTTGTTTTTCAAGGCGATGCGATATTATACGTATTGCGTCGTCACAGTTTTCAGAAGTCATGAAAAAAAAGAAGGCGCGACGAAACGTTCTGAAAATGTATCACGTGTAATTCCGATATGATCGTGAGAAAAATATTATCGTACGATTAGCGGCTTCGTAAAAACTCTGTTTAAAATGCAGAATAATGAATATGACAACATGTTGCATAATGTTTATATTAGATTTTTCTAAGTATTCGATTTATGATTCATTTGTTTTTTATTTGAGAAGTTAAAAAGAAGAGAACGGATTTTATCATCCTTTGAGAATGCGTACACAGATACTAACATATCGTTGCAATGTTGCAAACTGCTCTAAAATTGTGACTGAAAAATTAGTAATAGATAAACAACACAGAAAGTAAACGCGATAAAACACAAGGCGAGGATATTATGAAGTAATTTCCAAAACAAAGATAACTTTTTTTTGTGTTAAAAGAGAGACCGTCAAACGACTAATTACTAAGCTAATCTGTTTCTGTAATATTGTGAAACTTTTTCTATAAAACTTTGATATAGGCTTCAGAATTTCGAATCAATTTTTTCATCGTGCGGCTAATTAGTGCGCGTAATTAGAAACGTGATGACGATCGGTAATTTATACTTCTCTTTGGAAAACAAATTTTTTTGTGCAGCCGGGTCAAATAGTAACAACATTTAAATAATTTTTCTAATAAAACAGAAATAAGGTTTTATTTAAAATAACTGCAACTGCGATACCTGAAATATTTTATCGTTAATAATTTACGAAAAATCGCGCAGAAGAAGCGCGATTATCTTTATCAAACATGCCATCTTATTTGTCACGATTTTACATACAGTGAAATTTTCGTTTTGCAATACATATCGAGACAGGTCATTTACGCAACAGAAGTCACCGAATATTTTTAACATGTTTTTAGCCGCTAACGCATTTCGTAAAAATTGCTATGAATTGTGCATTACCAGCATCTGTGAAGCTAAACATTCGTACCACAAAAATATTAACAAGAAAGGAACGCTTATACTTATAACGTAATTTAAATAAAAAAGCTAACTTTGGAAATCTGCATTGTAGTTAGAACGAGTTAAAAAATTCAGCACAAATCTTTTACATATTTTAATATTTTCAAAGCGGACCTAGCAACTTGAATATTTGACCCCGAACGATAAGACCAGTTTTGAAAGAGACTATTGTGGTATTTGCTTATCTCCTTGTTTAGGCCTCTTGATTTTGATACATTCAAATATATTTCGACATAATAACATCAGTAACTCGAAATTGCACAATTGTTCAGGCGAAATCTACATTGTGTTGTTATTGTGTCTACGTTTATATCAATAATCAACGTAATCCATCGGTATAAGCCCCACATATGATATGATGTTCACACATTCAATATGTACGAACAGTCATTTATAAACTTTAAAAAACCAAATTTCTTACGCGTTTCTAAATTCAAAAACTCGTAGAACATAAAGATCTTCTATTATCAGAGATTAGATTTTAACCTAAAATCTCTTATATGTTAATTTAATTTTTATTTTTATCTCTTTTCACTTAAGTTCTGAAAATTTTACAAGAGTCTAGGATTTACGGAATATTTTCTCATTTGTATAGATTTTTAAAAATAGACAGATAAAAGAATTTCTTAGGCACAAAACCAACAATAGTTAAAATTATTTAAAATTCTTTTCTGAAAATTGAATCATAATTTTAGAGAGTAAGAATTACAATTCTCATGCGATAAAATTTCAATACTAATAAATAACGAAAAAACTACATATATCATTTTGTTTAAGCCAAGTAAAGTTTTATTATCTCCGTATGACGTTGGGTATGAAAGAGTTAATTTTTATTGTGGTATGTGAATCATGAATCGCTTACCTGTGCTAGTGACCAGACCGGTACCTAACCAAGGCTTCAAGTATTGATATTCAAGACTCTTGTCGATGTGCTCGCTGCTGTGAAGCAGAGGCTGCACCGATTCCACCCTGTAGAGAAAGATAAAAGGACGCAGACCAACCCAGACCAGAAAAATGTCGCCAAATTCACCGGCCCATTTTACCAGTTTCTGAAAAAACTCTGAAACAAACAAATCACTCAGTGAATTTTAGACAAATACGTAAAATTGCATTCTGACAATTAAATGCCCCCAATCTTGTCTTATTAAAAGTAAAAATCATGTTGAGGATATCGAAAAGTAAGAATTAAAAAAAGATATTTCGTAAGATTTCTTGTCAAACTTGTATTTAAAAATTGCAAACCGCGTAACTGCTGCGCAACGAGATGCCGGTACTTTCGACGGTTCGAATATCCACCAAGTGTGTCAGTCGTTATACAATAATCAAGCAATTAATTAACTTGCGAACTGCTTAAAAAAATTTGTAATAGAAAAAAATTTAATTTTTGGGATCATTAAATTTCGGGGGGTTAAGATAAAAAATATTGTGCTGGAAAAAAAGCAATGCTAGCGATAATCTTCAATTTATTCACTTAAAACAGTGCAAAGTCCTTGGCCAAAGAGCGAGAACCTCTGATAAAATTTTTTCGATTATTTTTGCCAATCTTTTCGGATGGGACAACGTTCGGCATTGTCCGCGACGTGCGTTCGTCCCGTGCGACCTGACTCTGAAAAGTTATCGTATTGAGCATTTGCGACATTAATCTGCCACTGTCACGAAATTCTGCGAACGTTCACGGATACGTGAACTTCGCATCAACATCGCGTAAAACAGTGTCTTTATAATTAACCCACTTCGGAGGTCAAAGGATGACCCTGTATACTCCTATAATTTTCTTATCGCGCAAGTAACTCTCGAGATATCGATTTATCGAGGCTCTTATTTTGTCGCACACTCATCAAATCAAATAAATATATGACAAAGGGATAATTATTTTAAGCTCTATCGCGCGCAACATTCACATAAGATAAATTTATGATTATGCATCGGAGTGTTAAAAAGTTTAAATATGACAAGAAAAGAAGTTTTGAAGAAGAAAAGATAAATTAATGAAGATTATCTTTTAATACAAAAATTTGTTGCTTTTGTTAAAACAAAGTTGCGAAGTAAAAATCTTTGAACAGATAACTTTGCCCCACATTTTCTATCACAGAAAAATACACACTTGACACGCATCAATTAGTACCATCTCTCTGTCCCTCTCTGTTCGCAATATACATATATGTACATTTGGTATTACGATTTTTTTGTGAGGATTATTAGCCTTTTACAGTCATTGACCCGTAACGCGGTACAGAAATAAGCTCCCTACTTTTGCAGCCGAATTATCTCCTCGTTATTACGATATTCTAGACGCCTGTTCTATGTCTTACTGGATTATAACCTTCGTAAGAAACCGCCGGCATCGGAAGGGCCGACGAGGAAATGAAAAAAACAACACGAAATGTAATGCGACGTGGTAGAGAGAAGTGCGGAGAAATAAAGTGAAAAAAATGGAGAGAGAGAAAAATCTGGGACAAGTCTTATCGAAACGAGAAGTGCATACTATGCAATGTTTGATAAATAAAATGCGCATATGTGCGCGAAAAGAACGATGCGAATAAAGCAGTGAACAATGTTGAATAGTAAATAAAAGGGGGAGCGAGATATTAAGTAGCGAAAGAAGCAATATCGAAAGTAGGCTAAAGGTCAAAAGATGATATTAATTAAACGATTACTTTAAAAGAAAACGATTTGTTTACCAAAGATATTCAACAGAATGAATTTTTTGCGTTAATGGATTTAAATCGTTTCTAAATGAGAAAGAAAGAAGATTCCAATTTTTTTATCTGAGCTCTACAATTAATAAACATTAATTCCACCGTAATTCGTATCTATATTTCGAAAAGAGGAAATACCTGATTTCCTCTATAATGCATCGTAATGGATATTGTTATTTTATGCATTATTATAATAATCATGTCATCTGACTTGTTCTTGCATAAGATTTTCTTCTCTCTTCAAAGGCAAATGTTAAGGCAGCAAATTGTATGGCGAATGAAAGTGTTTCAACGAGATGAAACTGTTTTCTTGAGTAACATATTGAAGAAGAGGAAGGCAGATGGAGAAACGGACGGATGGCAAAAGAGAGAGGAAAAGAGAGAGGGACAATCAAGAGAGTAAATCAAGAACGGCGCGGCGGCGGAGAAGAGAAATCACATTACACGTGCAGCGAGTTGGAGGCCGCGAGTAGACTGACCGGACATTGACCGGTTGAAAATGTACAACATGCATATTCGCAACGCACGTGGACGATCAGCGAATGCTGCGATGAAGCGAGGGATAAAGAAAGAGGGACGAAGTAAGAAGACGTCGCTTTGGAAAGAGCGGAAGGCATTGGAATCTTGGCAAGTGTTCAACGAGACATCGAGTGTCCTTCGGACGGAGAAGAACCTTCGACAGCCTATTTCAGTACCGAACGCGCCTTCTCTCTCCTTCTCTCTGTAAGACACGCACCGTCGCAAAATTTGCAAAAGAATGAATGATATAACACGAAATTGACATCACGCATATTACTGGTTTCGCGACTGTCTGAGACGGCGCTACTTTCTTGTGTGAAAAACGCAGCATCGTATTTTATTTATTGTTATTATTTGTTTTGATACATGTGGGATGTATTGAACTGGGAGATTTGTTGAATTTAGAAAAAAAGAACTTATATTTTATAGATAAATGTCTAATCAGGAGAAATTTTGACATAAAAACGCGCATCAAAGTCTGTTTTTTAATCTTTAAGTAATTGTTATTATTCGTTTTCGTTCTTTGTCTTTCGTTCATTTCATAATTATTTTCGCAAATATACAATTGCATGCACAGAAAGAATTTAACTTTCAGTCAGTAATATAATTGTCTTATCGTTTAGAATAATTCCACCGTTTTGGTGAAACTGCTGCTAAATTTCTCCAACGATTGCTCATGAAAAATTGCAATTGCAATCTTAAACTGGAAACGTATTATGAGAGAGCGCGGACAAAATTGAAAAGAAAAAAGTATCAGTTCTATGAACTGACATTACGGGCTAAGGGTTAATTGGCTCGATCTACGATGCAACGATCTACGATATATTACGTCTAATCTCTTGTCTCGCGAGACAACAAGACACCAGACAGTATTTTAACAATGTACATTCTCGAAACATTCCATCATGCATTCGATCGCACGCGTTGCTCTTTGTGCCGGCCGGTCGGTTTCTCTCGCTTGTCACGTCTATCATAGCGCGAGTAGATGCTAGCGCGGCACCGAAATGTCAACAGACTCTATTCTCTTTCCGCGAACGATGACGTCTGGTCAGAGTCTGGTCGGAGTCATTCTCCGACGGCCTCGCTGACCGCGAGGCATCTCGCGCCATCCTTTTCACGCGATGCTCGCCACCGCGCGCAAGAGGATGCTTTCTCTTTTATTCTCTAAGAGAGTGCACGCGTCATAAAGAGACGCATACAAAATCGCGTGCAATTATGCGCCCGCCCCATTCAGACCACTCGAGCGACCTCGACCCGCTTCTTCGTCTGCATCTTTTTTTTTTTCTTCGTCGCTTTGCGCGTGCGACCGGTCGGTGATTATTATTGATGATTCGAGATGGATCACATATCACCCTTTTCTCTTTATTATCGCTGCTTCTCTTTTTTTCCCCCTGTATTTCCCGTTACACGATGTATTATTCATCTCGATTAATTTGATTGCCGTAGCGGAGCTAAATGTGTACAATCAAATCGTGATTTGTTACTTTAATCTTGAAGAAGCAGATATTTGTCAGTGAAAAAAATTAATCCGCGGTGGCATTCAATTGAGACGTTATATAACAGTTTAAATTTAAAAAAATATTGGTCCGAAATTGTATATGTTACAATCGTATTTCGGAGTAGATTTTATTTATAAAGGGAAGAAGAATCTACTTTGTTTCCTCGTGAGTCATAGGACTATAGCAGGAAATGTTTATAATTCTAATTGAACGAATATTTCTTAGATTTGCCTCTCATATTTCTAAATATCATGCGCAGATATCGTGAACAAAAGAAATATGTTTTAAAGATGCGACTGTTATAGAACGATCGTTGGAATAATCTTTGTTCCCAGAAAACATTCTAAAGCTGAGTTAATGCGTCATAAAACCGGGTAAATCATTCAATATACAAGAGAAGTCTCAAAAGCCTGTCGAATATTTTCTCATAATTTTTTTCTCGCATGACACGGAATGTATGCGTGCCTAAGTATCTGAAGAGTCGAGTCGAGTTGCAGCAATGTTTTCTGAGCGAGTTTCGTGATTATGTAACGAGTCCTAATAAGTTGAAAACTACATCAGGTGGCCGAAATTATTCAACGATTTTTATTACACTTAACATGTGAAAAAAAAATGAAAACTTTTTCTCGCCGAATAATTTTGCTCCGGGCTCAAGTGGAGATCGAGCGTAGGATGTCCGAAGATATCACACGCGCATCCCCGAATAAACGCGAGTTTCTCTTACGCGCATATCTGCGCGGATGAATGAGCAACGAAATCACCAGTTACTTCACCGGTCTCCGTGCATACGCCTTATCCAACCGCGGCGTGAATCGCATAAGACGCAGCAGGCCGAATGGCACGTGTCTGTCCTCTATATTATTGTATTTCGCGCGCGTGAACGCTGCCGCAGAATTAACGGTATAAATTTTGCGTATGCCAAGGTTATCTCATTTTTTTTTATCTCGAACAGGTTTACAGTTTTAGGTTTAGCCATTTTGCGAATTTATAAATAAATTCAAAAGTTTATAGTGTCAAAGCTATTTTTAGAACGCCGAAACAAGAAATTTTTCTGCGGAATTTATGTTATAGTCAATTGAAACTTAGATTTATGACTCGATCTCGGTCGTCAGCGTGTTACACTGAATAAAAATATTTGTATACGAAAAATAATGTGAGCGCATGTAATGGACTTAATCGCAACCACACACAAGGCTGATGTAATTTGTATATTTAATCGCAATTGAACGGTTGTCAAACGTTATGTCACAGCGACATAACGAATGTTTAAAGTCAAAAGTCACAGTCGGATTATATTTTGAAACATGATAACACGTATTTATATTTATTTGGATATTGATATACTATATAAAAAGAAAAAACACGTGGGGCACGTCAAGTGTGAGTTTTAAGGAAAAGCAAATGCTTCTGCATAGAAGAACTTTGAATTCATTTATTTTGAAATTTTTGCAGCAAAAATTTTTCGCGAAAATAGCTTTCAACAATCTTATTGAATCTTGTGAAGATAGATGCTAATTGTAGACGCTAATATCTTTATAATTTGTTTTAAATATCTTTTTTCTTAAGCTAGAATGTTGTCATCGCTTATCGACAGTAAACCAGTGAACCAATACTTGTTTTTCTTGTTCTTCTCATTTTTTCACTCCGCGAAGATGATCTCTAAATAAAAAAGAGTAAATACGATATGTACGTCACAGTGAGCTATATAACATACTGGAGTGAGTCTTAAACGAGTAAAGATGGTCCACTGTGAAAGAGAAAGAACTATATTTCTTAATATTTTTTAAATATTTAATAATATTGTACACGGTAGTGAGTGTGTGAAAGGAAGACAAATGTGTTCCCGTCTATTATTGCTATCCTTAAACCGCGAACTACACATTGAAGAAAAGCTTTCTTATCAGAAAGCCTCACTCTAGTATGTTATATAGCTCAATAGTACGTTACGCCAGAAGTTACGCAAAACTCATTATTTTTCAAAGTGACAAATAAAAAATTAGAAGAACAAAATAAACAAATACGTGTATACGAAATGTACATACCGGAAACATATAAATACGTGATGATCGTGATACGTTAAACACGATTTGAAGTATTTTCTTGATCTTGAACGACGAACATTCCTCGATATTGTAATATTCCTTCGTAATAAGATTCACGGCAAGCAACGGCAGCGAATATCATTTACATTCATTTTTTGTGAAGAATAATTCGTCACGCTATCCGTCTGATAGTCATGCATCAACGAATCGCATCGCGCCGGCGAGCGCATCAAGTGTCAGTCATCAGAAACTTCGCGACATTTCTACGGTACTCTTCAACATACCGTAATCACGAGGTCTTACCTTCTTGCGTGCAGTTGAGCTGATAAGCGTTGCCGATGATGGGCAGCGCCGATGGATAAGGCACCTTCCTCAGGGCGTACAGAAACTTTCCTCGTTGCATCAGCAGGACTAACAGGAGCGATAGCAGGCAGCAGAAGAGGAAGCCCGTCACCCAGGATCCTCCCGCGAGAAGAACCGACGCAATCATAGTGGATGCTGCGATCGGCTTTCGATGTCTCCTTGATATCACCGGCTGTTTGTCTCAGCGAAATGATCGCACAGCGAGTTTGTTCACAACTCCACGGATTTTCGTATCTTCAGGAAAAATCGAGCGCCTTCACCGAGATCTTCAAAAATAATCGGGAACGCGTCGTGAGATCAGTCGAGATTCTCTCAACGTGCGCGACCGGCCACGATCGCCGAATTAATATAAATCCGAGATCCTGACGTTAGTCGCCGGTGTTCTGCGGCGAATTTTAGAAGTGAAAAGTGGCCTTGTGATCGCAAAGATCATTCATCGGAGGTGGCGCAAGAGACGCAGGAGTAGGGAAGGAAAACAAACCCACGACAATTTTAGGGCGGAATAGTGCAATTAATGTTGTTGATAATGCCGATTGTTATGTCACGCGGTGACTATTTTCCCCGGTAGTAATGCGTAACTGTACGAAAGCGACCCTTATATATGCTAGCACACTACACCAACAGCCAATGGTAAGGCTTCTCACCAACAGAATGGCAAATACATGGGACACGTGTATGTGTGTGCGTGCTTGTCGCGAACGCAACTGTATCCATACATGTGGTCATTGCGTGAGCATGTTCCATCTGTGCGCATATGTATATGTAGGCGACTTACACAAATAAAAGCGTTTTCGTCGGGAGATTGACCACGTGGCATCACTCGCCCTCTCTATGCGGATTCACCTTACAAAGTAGAAGTTTCCCACGTGGAAGAAAAGAGAGGGAATCGACGAGAGAGTGGAGGATCAGAGGAGCGCGTGTACACTCGCAGCAGCCGCGCGGATTGGCATCACGGCGACCGCGCGGTGACGATGTCACTGTCCGCGCACACATTTTTTGTCTTTACGCGAAGAGAGTGCATTGCGGACTACGAAGGGCTTTTTCCTATTTCGGAAGAATCGAACTCATCGAATATGATGTTCAGTGATGAAGTTATCCGTGTTTATTCCGGATGTCTCGCTCGTCCCACAGTATTGTTTTTGTTTTCACAAAATTGCAACGGCGATGCTGATTGAATAATTATTATTTTCATCAGATCTGACGTATATTATGTTATACATGTAATATATATAATTTTTATAACGTTTGAAAAGTAACTGTTTCACACAAGGTTCCTTTTTTGTGGAAATAAAGAAAAAGCTATTGATAGAACCGGATTGACAGAATCGTTTGGCATATACTTTTTTTCGTAAACTTATTTGCGAGACGTGAAGACACGTAACACTTAAGAAATTGGAAAGTAAACACCGTTATTTATATCTTCCACACTTTTGAACACGGTATTTATATTTCATGATATAATGCTCTTATTTTGTTTTGTGTGAAAAAAGAAAAAAAGTAATTTTTATGAATATTGCAAAGGCAGAGGAGCTACGTATTCTTATGTTTGCATAATCTTTAATATGAGATAATTCGCAGAAAAATAACATTGCGATTACAACTCGGAGCAAAAAGTATTCTACACGTGCGATATTATTTCATCATCGCGCACTGACATCAGTCAGTTAGATTTGCGCAATAATGCTTCACAATTACTGAAAATAGGATAATTAATAATTATATTTATTATTTTGTTTTTATTTATTCCACAACAAGTTAATATATTATTTAAAAATTATCTCGACTTAAGCGTGACGCGTTTGATTTAACGTGTTTATTGATTTTCACGCTTGGACGTGAATTATTACGAGAGTAATTCAACAAACACAAATACAAACGTAATAAAAATAAAAGAAATTTGTGTCAGAAAATCGAATAAAAATATACATTTAGTCGCTTTTTAATCATTATAATAATAAATATTTTGATTAATAATTTTTTAATTATTTTTTGTTGCGTTTATATTTTTTATGACAACTTTTATAGATTAAACATAAGACTGATTCGGCAAAATAATTCGATTGAAAAACCGATGGAATCTTGTTAATCGCGAATGAGAGACTTTTCGATAGAATCCACTTCTACATATCTATGAAGTGGAATTAGTACAAGACAGTAGGCACGTGCTTTGTCTGCCACGTAGTTTTATCTGTCATACAATCCGGTTTTACCTTCATCGTCGGAAATATACGGAGATAATACGGCAATTAATAATATTATGTATTATGTATTTTTCTTCTGTTTTCTGAGCCTGTTCGCGCGCGACACGTCGCATTCACTATCATCGCGCACAATGGAAGCAGCGCATCTCGTTGCAGCACAAGCTCCGAATATATTTTGATGCGTTATTTATCATCAATCATCGCGCCACGTGAGAAATTACTTTGTCACAGAAATGTGGTCGGGCAATTTTCCCATTTATCATTCCATCGGCGAGCGTCGCGTCGCGCGCGAACACTTTGAAATCGCTTAGCGATGAGACATTGACGAGCCGAACATACATATCTGCAGGCTATGTATTGGTGCGTAACATTGTTGCCATTATATCTTTCTTATGTCATCAAGACTCCAAGCAGGAAAAATTACAGCGCATAATCATAGATTCAAAATGTGGTTGCAAAATATTATTTATAAACTACTAATCTGTCGAGATATATGTGGCAGTGATAATGTTCAAAAAAATTCCACTTATTATTCGAACATTGTTGATACGAATATTACGATTAGGAATTGATTAGAATAAGGAGTTACGATTAGGAATTTATCAGAATAATTTGTTCTAGAAGCGTTAAGGCTCAAGTAAGGGATTCTTCCCTTTAATTATCCTTTTTCCTGACGCGCTCTTTTTTTCGCTCACTATATTTATGTAATTGATCGCTGCTTAATTACCAATTCTGTGCAAGAGTTTAGCCATTTATATTATTTATTGATAACTTATATACTCTGATCGATAATTTCCACACTTTTTTCTGTATTGCAAATACTCAAATATAATCGTGATATATTTTTGCGCTTGTGCGTCATGTACCCGATGTATTACATCTATCGTTTACATAAAACGTGAAAGCGACGCAGTCGTCACGTCAGCGTACACAATGCACGAATAATTGGATGATACGTAATCCGCTGTAACCTTTCAGTTTGGTTTACTTTAAAATTTCAAGACCGTTCGGTATCTTATAATAACTTCTAACTTATAAGTTACTGATAACACAATTGATTATCATGTAATTCTGTTGTTATTCTGTCGCAATCGCACAGGTGAGCCAGTTCATTTAGCCCCCGCTGCGTACATCGAAGTTTAAGATGAGTTTCTTCACTCGAATTCGCGATCGAAAGCCGAAAAGTCGTGGCTTATTATATCATTTATTTTTAATTTTCACAATTTATTTCTTATAAATTACTAATGATTACGAAATTATGAATTATTAATCTTTAATGTAAAATTAATTTTTTGAAAATTAAACGGGAGTGGACATTTTTGCAAAATAAAAATAATACGCGTTTGTCTTAAAGATTTTCAAACTCAGTGTTACTCGGGAGGAGAAATAATATATATATATAACAATATTTTATGTATATATAAATAAAGAGATAAAATAAAAATTAAAAGTTGCGATATATTATGTTTTTGTAGAAGAAGATAGAATCAATCGTTTTGCGCAATCAAGAGCGAATTTACGATGCAGATAATGTGATTGCATTTCGACGATGCATCTATTAGCGTTTTCAATTATACGGATTTTGATTGACCCAAGGTTAATTAATGACGTCATTGCATCGTCTCCATCAATAAAAGAATTTATAGTAAAATAGTGATTGCATATCACACGCGCGTGCATTGACTGGCATAAACATATCGTATACGCACGCTCTATCTAGCAACAAAAGATATATTCTTGTTTAGCATCTGAATGTGTTATTGAATTTTCTTTTGCTAAATGCTCAATCTTGAAATCTTCGCATCTATCGATCTCCATATTCTTCATACGCGAGACTGTTGCTAACATTTTTTTCTTCTTTTTTCAAAGCATTGTTGCAAACCAACAGAAGAGAAAGCGCGATAACATGTAGAACTTGATCCGTTTCAAAAGACGCATTCCATTAGCTATCTGATAACGCAAATAATACAGTTTAAAGGTGATCTCGCGCTTGTAGAGACTCAAGATTTTAGATACATGATTTAAGAATGTCGGATGAAAAGTGATACCGCAAACCGCGAACTACTACAAGAACAATATCCATACAGTATTGCATTTTCAGTGAAAGTTTTATATTAATTTGTTCACATAATTTCTTCGCTAGATATAAATATAAATTGATATTGATAAATACAGACCGATAGATAAGTATAAATATGGAGATATAAAGAAGAAAAATGAAATTATCTGCGATTTATTCATTTTAACGCAAGAGACGATTTACTTTTTATTTCAATCTAGAGCACATATTTACGGTTATGACATTTATGCATTAATTGCAATATTTTTTATCTTCTAAACAGTTTTAACGGTGTACTTATAATTAGAACAGCGACGAAGCATGCGTATGAAGCGATATATGTATAAACCATCTTAATTATAAATTACAGTCGTGTGTGCGAGATGATTATAAACGCATAAGATCGTTGAAATCTTTTCACTTACACTTGTCATATGCAAAACCGATGTATTTTATAGTTTACTAATTATTTCGACACGAAATATTATTTTTCACGACTGCATTATAGTTTAAAAACATTATAACAGTTTGATGAAATATATAACTATTAAAATCGTTTTGATAGATGAAATATTTAATTAATGAAATATTAAATTATTAAAATCGACTTAACTGTTCGCAGATAATCATTAGCTCATTAGGCAGTGATAAAGAAAATTGAGAAAGGAAAAGTTAATACAAAATTCGAATAGATGTTTTTTTTTTCTGATTTTTTAATAAAGTATGAATGGATAAATATGGTATGTTTAGTCGATCGTCGTACATACGCCGGTATCTAACAAATACATTTGATAACAAATATTAATTAATGAACAAAAGAAGTAAAAATCAATTTTTCCACTGCTTAGATTTGTTTTCCATGCGCTACAGATCTTATTTACTTGAATTTTTATCTTTCCCTTCATGTTTTATTTATCAGAACTACACATCACGTGCGCGATCTCTAATTTTTCATAAAGCGTGCGGCACGTTTGCGTGCGCCTCTTTCATGTTATGTAACGAGGTATAAAAAATCGCTCTTTTTCTCTTCTTCTTTGTCCTGCAATCGAAGACAGCGTCCATCTAAGCGACACATCGCTTAATAGATTGTCTCCATACAACGCGCTGTTTGCGCTTCTTTTAAGAATCTAACTAATTTACGGCGTTATGAATATACGGGAAGAAATTTGATGCCGATTTTAAATATACATTTTAAATTTTTGTTATAACAGTTTCATAATGAAATAAGATGTCAAGGCTAGTCTATTTTTTATCAAATGCGTATAAGGAAATGGCGCAACAAAACTTGATGATACAATATGACACGTGATTAAAGAATGTATAAGTGGATAAAAAATTATCAATATTTACTTAGCTTAGAATTTTTGGTCGCTACAGGGCACAGACTTTGATAAAACTTTAAACATATTAATGGAACTTTTACTCACACATAAATGCGCAACTAAAAAGATACAGATATTTTCATTTTCTGCTTCAAGATATATTATGAATTGTACCGAATTAAATTATTCAAATGACACATATGTGCTAAGTATCGATAGTTTGAATTTTTATAAGTTTCCGTAAAGATCCGCTTTTAGCTTTTGGTTTAATGAACTTAGCGATTGCGACATTTCGCTCAAGGTCCTTCGACGCGCTGAAAAGACTTGCGTTTGATATTTAATAATTCGCACAAAATAACCGCTAATTCTTTCTTACGACTGTTGAGATCGCATTGCGCAATTACAATAACTATTTATAATGTTGCATCAGTTGTCATGTGGAGCGATTATTCGTTTTGTTTGCATCATTATGTTAATCCATATGTTGTTTGGAAAATAGAGTTGGCATTTTTCCTGTTCTTCGGTGCCACACGTGTGCCTCACTCAAGGTGATCTCCTAATACAGGATATCCCATATCAGCTGACTTATTATATTTGATAGTTGAATACCGATTCCGATATAAAGGGGACGTCGAAGTTTAATGAACAAAATCCACAGTTTAAAGAAAATGTGCTTAGTGTGTGGAATACCCGATATTAGATAATCTATCTTATGTATTATCGAGAAAAATATACATGACACAGACATGTATTACTGCGGCGCGACATAACATGACCTCCAGTCGATCTTTTTTCTCTTTCACTGCTTTCAGATCAAAAAAAAAAAAGAAAAGAAAAAGAAAACGAAGATTCTTCTCTGCCCTACGTGGACGACGGCACGTCGCGTAACCTCATTCTCAACAGACGGATACAGAAACTTTTTCTCTTTTCTCCTTCTTTGTTGTATGATCCAGTATAATCTTGTATAATTTAGTTCAACGATATTTTTATAGTAGTATTATTGAAACCGTGGGTGACAATGTCCGTTAATGGATCGTAAAATCAATTTAATCGAACACAATCAGCATTTAATCATTTTGTCTGCGAATTTCTTTTCCTCATTTGAATACAACCGTATTTATTCAAACATTTAGCTGTATATTAAATATTTAAATAAATGTAAAAGAAATTTGTGTATTAATATTCAAGTAAGCGTAAGAACAAGCTGCATGAACTAAATGATTAAATGTTTATGTTCTTCAAATTTAAATTTTCAAATATATTTAAATAATCGCTTTTTCATATTAAATTTATTACACGCTTTCGTCATGAAGCGCATTTTATATAAATTAATCATTTAAATATTAAAATATATATTTTTTATGATATTACGTACTATAATAAGTGTATAAAATGATTTACAATCGCTATGTTTGTGTTTAACAATGTTTTAATTATTTATCCGCATAATAAGAAAACAAACGATCTTCGGGCGAAAGATCCGTCATGCAGAATCAAGTCTATTATAATCTGCTATTTATATGTCTATTACGGGTGAAAAGTTAAATAATACTTGATTGACATTATGACGTCACGATAACAACGTCCAGAAATAAACACCGTGAATCAGCGACGTATTTTCACGATGTTTCGCTAAAGTTCGCGGTATCTCGAAGACAGAGTGAGACGCTTATTTCATTATTTGTTTGAAACGGACTGAACAGAAAGTTCAGCGTGGTCCACTCGCAAGGCACGGAGCGCATTAATGAGACGTGTCTATGCACATGTACGTGCCCAGTACGTGACTGTTCCTTGAATATCTGCCGCCACAACAAAGACGAATTCCTCCGCGTTCATTCTTTCTTCGCTGATATATTCAAATCAAATATTTAAATAAAATTTACGGCGATTAAACAAAACGGTTATGTAAATACACGGATTCAACGGTTTCTTGTCTGCAAAGTGAGCGTCTGTGCGACTAGAAAACGTGTTTATCATATGCATTCGATTTTCACATGTCCGTGCTGTCATCCACTGTCCCAGACTTGTCTGGCACGACGGCGAGAGATTTGCATTTATCCCACGTTGAATAAACACGGACGATGACACCGAAATTGTTATGTTATGTCGTTATTGCGTCGCCCGTCGTGCAATTTTATCACTGAATCTGCGTGTCGGTGCATCGAGGCCAAAAATCTTATTTCTTATTTAATTGGTATATTGGAACTATGTTTTCGACGTCGAAATCGCACGCACAGCCTGAAACGTTTACACGTGAGGCGATTCCTCGTGGCATGCAACGCGGTAGGATGTTTTACGGACATACACCTAAATCTTGCATGCATAATGTCAAGTGAGTCGGCAAAACGTTCGATGATCTTTCAAACATAACATGTTGTATATTATGCAGGCGGGTAACTAAAATCACTTAAAGTAAACATATGGTAATAATTACGCACCTAATTAAACTATCACAAACCGAGATACGCGCGGATGATATTAGTTCAAATAGATATTTGCGTCGAACTTTATTGAATTATTATTGTGCATTCGTATCAGTGTGACATATATTCGGATTTATCTGACTTATTTGATTAGAAAGAAATTGCTTTCGACAAGTCTCCAATGTGTCGGGGGTTTCTTTTTTTTGCGTGACACTTTCGTACTCCCATATCAAATGTTTTAAATATTCAGATACACAATAATTTCTTGAATTAACACAGCCTCAATGATTATCTATGTTTGATACATCAACTATATACAAGTCACACAATGCATAAAAGTGCTACACTAAGTTTTCTTCGATAACACACTCGCTAGCAATAAACATTTTACTCGCATGTTTCCCTCGAAGATAACGCATGATGATATCAATACATTATTCTCATTTTTCGTATAATAAAATAATGTTTGAGAAAAACAGCTTATTGCTGATATCATTCAATTTGCTTAACGAAGCAATCTACCTTAATGTGGCAGAGGAAAAAATATTTTTGAAAATATAGCAACTATTCAGTAATTATGAAATAAATAAAAGCATACGATCTACTATAATGAGTTATATTCGTGGCACCATAATATTATTTTCTCCGGAAAGAACCTTAGCTAGTTTCACACCTTCGGCATATAGAAATAGTTCATTTTCGGACAAAAGAAATTGCGTACAAAAGGAAGGCGGAATAGAAAAGAAGATTGATCCCTCGCGCGGCGGGGAAGATTAACGAAAACGAAAAGGTCATGGGAACCTCATTTTTAGCGGTGATGTGTAGAAAGGCGAAGATTAGGGAGAATAAAGCGTCACTCAATAAATATTCAAGGAAAAAAAAAAGAGAAAATAGTGCAAGATATTTGAAATGTTTGAAATTTTTTATACTGGGAATGCGCATCTCGCCAGTTCAATGTTTCGAGATGAACCGTCGTCAGCAAAGATCAAGATGGTTGTCATCTTTCAGGTTTCCACAATTTTTCAGGTAGCGCCTGGATTCTTGCGAGTCTTATACGTTCTGCGTGTATAAGATTCTCGGAATCCAACACAGTTCGAAACGCTAGCGTTTCAAGTTTTTGTTCAATATTGCATCAACGTTCAATCTTTGAAAAATTAATTCTATGATTGAACGATTTTGATACCAGCAGCTGCAAATGTTTATCGTTCTCATTTCTCTTTTTTTTCTTTTTCAATCATTTACTCATTCATTCATTCATTCATTCATTCATTTATTTTTCTCTCATATAAAGTCACGGAAAGCGCACGATATTGCGCATTGTTCTCGTTTCATTTGTTTACTCGATCAGAAGATTTGTGTATTCATGTGACGACAAGAAAAAACAAGGTGAAACGATAGTATCGACGACACGTGTCTTCGCTCCCATTCGAGATGACTAATCGGATTGTAGGAGGCAGACTTCAAACAGGATGACGTGACGAATACGGAAAAATCGCAACGCACGCCTACAGCAACAATACATGAATGACAGACAGAGGACGACTGTAATCATCAAGAAATAATTGAATGAATCGCACACACATATTTCGTAATCTTGGAACTGAAAAATAATGCGTGTTTAGTTTTTTGCTCAAATAGTGGATCTTATAAGTTTTTAGATTTGACAAACTTTATTTAGCCATTATACTTAGCCTTTTGCAATCAATATCAATTCGAACAGAATAATCGGAGAATCATTGCTAGAGAAAAATAAATGTCCTTTATAAGAAAAAATAATATTTCTAATTGGCTTAAATTATTACCAAATTTAACTCAAATTCGAATTTATTTCGTGCTTGTGTTGATTATCGCGTCTAAAAAAAAATGGATTAGAAATCAATGAAAAAATCCTGATTACTTCGGCGCCGTTATGTCGTCTAGCTCAGTCATCTGAGAACCAATCTCTAATGGTTGCTTTCCATTTAGCAACACAAATCGACACGAGCACTGGATGTTAGAAAAAAAAAAAACAGAATGACGCTTGTGTTTACTTGTGTCGCTAAATGGAAGGCACCCGTTCTAAGTCCATCGGAAGTAGTGGTGCACGTGAGCCTCCCCCCACTCTCGGCGTAATTATCCCAAGATTGCTCACACGTATGTGACCTCAACCTTGCTTCGTCACGTCTTATTGCACATATTATGTATATAATGATTTTATTTATTAGCAGAAACACGCTTATTTGATGTGCGTTTATCATCCGTTTAGCATCCGTTGATTGCAATGCTAACAAACGAATTGTCATTAATCACGATTTGAAAATAAAATAATTTGTGATATTGCGCTACTGGTTGTTTACCGAATAACTTTGTTGTCTGATAAGAGAAAAAGATGACACGTGTATCTTAGTGTTATTAAATCGGATACGTCACGCAATCGGCATTTATACCGGAATATACCGGAGCTAGATTTAAAGATAAATTAATTGTTTTTCTTTTCTATATAATTTAGCTACACAATAATTATCCTCAAATAAGATTTTTTAATATGGAATTTATTTTTATTAGGACATACATGCGCACGTTACACGCGCGCCTTTTTTTCTTATTCTTGATAAAAAAATTACGCTCGACGTTTCACTACTGAGAGGAGGCCTCTGTTTTCGTGTGGCTGCTGAATGCGCAGTACAAATATGCGTGTCTCGGATTTTTTTGTTCTATATTATCGGACTCGGGTATCGATTTACTACATGACAATGTCTAGACGCGCAGCAGTTGCTCGACCAAGGGCGTCTCGGGAACGCTGTTGAATCTAATCGTCGACTGTGACGAGAAGTGGGTGGGGATGCTGAAAAACCCAAATCTTGACACGTGTTTATCCTTGAGATTAACCTTAGCAGAGCGACCATCCACCCCTTGAAACGAGGATCGGTGCATCCAGCCGAGCCTGTTGGCGATTTTATTTTTTTCTGACCTTTCTATCGAGGAAGATGAATTATTTCCGCTAAGGGTTTTACTATCGAGATCATATCTTTGCATGGTCCAAATGCATTAGTGTAGTGGGTTTCTTAGAGATCCGAATTCCTTTGTGATTTTAGGCTTTTAAGGGCTAGGTTTACTCTAGAATCTATAATAAGGGAGTTTGGAAACTTCACGTCGGCTTGATCTCTCGATTTACGAAATAATAAATTAGCTAGGGTCAATAATTATATTTTTTATAATTACAAATTTTACTTTTATTTGCAATTTTTATTGTTCTCGCTCAAGACGTACAAAGATTATAATTCTCATAATATCAATTATATTTTTTTATTATAACAATTTCATTGCTTTCATTCTATTTTTACTACTTCAGATTTTCGTGATAATTATTCTAGACCTTAATTAATTTTACTTTACATCAATAATAATATGTTTAACGACTCAAGATATTGTTCTCTTTTTAGTTGCTTTTCTAGTTTCCCATTTATTAATTTTATTAATAAATAAATTTCATATTTTTATTAAAAATTAACTGCTTAAAATTTCTCTACGGACGTCACGCATAAATTATATTGCACATCTTATTTTTTTATATCCATTTTATCAATTTGTTTATGGTTTTTGCATGAATCACTGATAAATATATGCAATGCTTGCTTTTATGCTTGCTCGAGATTCTTCAAAACAGCGCGATAATCATCGTTGCAGCAACAGTTGGCGATCAATCGATGCTCTCTGCAACTGTTGGCGTGCAGAAATCGGCAATCTGCTACTTTGCATTGGTAAGGCAGATCGTGAGAATTGGTACAACAACAGGCGTCGTGTAATAATTTCTCGCCGCAATAGGGATAGATCGAACTGTCGCATAAAGGACATCTGTAATAAAAATATAAGAGTATTACTCGTAAAAATGCGTTATATAATTGTTTTTAATTTTTATATTCTTGGCTGTGCATAAGAGATTCGGTTGTCCAATAAAACAGTAAATTTTAATCTCTTTGATAATGTGAAGACTATTTCGCAATTATGTAAATTATCAATATTGCTCAATTAAACAGTAAACTAAAGCAAACAACTTCTGCAGTCAAAAATAGTCATGACTATAATTTTTAATAAATGTTATCAAATAGTACTTTTTTAATAAATATCAAATATTATTGCTTTATCATGAAATAATTCAATAAATTAGTGTCCATGTAATAAATCTCCAATTTTTTATTGTGTTATCAACAGTTATGTAAAATGCTTGTAACGATGGTCATGATTATTTTTTACTGATTATTTGAGGAACATTACTCTAATCGTCACAATTATATAAATTATCAATATTGCTCAATAAACAAAAATAGCCATGACTATTTTTAACTGTTTTATTATTATTATTTTATCATGAAATAATTAAAAAAATTAATGTCCATGTAATAA